AAGTATAAAATTACGGGGATAAAAATTCCCGTCTTCCTTTATTATTCATCGGGGGCTATAGAATTTTCCACTCCCACTTTTTCCCTTTCTTCTACTCCCTTTCACTGAGATAAAAAATAAGTGGACGCGAGGGAGATCGATGTCATCGATTTTCCCAAGAGCCGCAGAGTAAAATTGCGGGTAATCTTGAAATTCTACTGCGGAAATGACTAGGCAACTCAAGTTGGTAATTTGAAAGTGGAGATCACGATTATTACCCGTTTCATAAATTGAAAAATAAATCTTTATTCTCACTGAGAATTCACTGTACGACATTTTCGATCGTTCCTCATCCACTAAAATAAATTAAAAATAGTTTTGCATTTGTATTTTTAATTTTTGATAATTCCCCAATAAAAATACTATAATAAAAACAACAGATGTTATAGATTCCACTAATCCACTTAATTCGTACTAATTAAATTACTGAAAATTATGTGATCATTCTTCAATTGGCAAATCATCTGATATGACACTCTCATCACAAAAAATAATGGCGTGATGGATTTAATAATTTTTCGCTGTGAAATTTTCTATTGAAATAATTGAAATATGAATAATAAGTTGCTGAAAGTTCTGAGAACGTCGAACTGAGAAATTTTTGAATTACCGAGTGGAAACGTACGGTGAAAATAATTAGGCACATGTTGCGTGCATGCGATCCAGCATAAACTGTTATGCAAGTGCAATATGCAAATTCTTAGTGGATTATCGCAATAATTTAGCGGCCGTCGTCCGGACTTATCAGATTTGCGTTATTTACATTGTTGGAGGTATAAAAAACCAACAGTGAGCTATTGTTTGTTGAAGGAGGACTGGAGGGCACGAGTTAGAGGACTCGAGAGGGTGGCATCAGCCCTGAGGACATCCTCAGCTCTGATTGCCATTGAACCTAGACTGGGATCTTTTCTCCAAGCAATTCTTGGTGGTGAAAGAAGCTGCAGAGTTGCTGCTGCTGCCATGTCTGTTGCAAGGGTAAAAAATATTTACATCCGAAGAGAGAATTCTAATAAAAATTATCCCCCAAAAAACGTTAAATTTTTAACGCTAAATAATTGTCGATTATTAAATCGTATAAAGAATGAAATTATCATTTCAAAAATGTTTTTTTAAATTCACATTTTGTAATGTCTGCATTATTAATTTTCCTCACAGATTTTCACAGAAAATTATATTTTTCGCACAGATTATACTGTGCTACACTACTAATTGGTGCACTTATTTCCATAATTACTCAGTGTTCGGATAAATTAAAAAAATGAATAGATCAATCAAAAAAATTATAATGAATTGAGAAAATCAAATCGATAAAAAATCTTTGGAGTTAAAATGGTAGAATCCATAATCCCAGAATTACAAAATATCAATTTAAAAGAAAATAAATAAAATGATTAACAGTTGTTTTGGTTTGTTGCATGAAAAAATGTTAAATAATTGTTCTAGACGTTATTTACATGAATAATACAAGGGATTGATGGTATGATTTATTGGAAAAATATATTTCTCGATGGGAGATTAAACCTAGGATGATTTTGGTCAAAGGTGGTGATTGCTGGAGTGTCGGAGGAATCGTTAAAACGTCGACTTCCACAAGTCGCTTGGGGTCTAAGCAGACAAGGGGGTCCAAGTGCTGCTCAGCTAGCAAGACTGGCGATGTTACGATTACGACCAGCTCTTTTCCTCGAACAGCTCCTTCAGCCCCACTGCATCGATGCCAGAAATGCCAAAGTACGTGAATTCGAGGGAGGAAATGTCAATTTACACTCACAAGAAGAAAATCATTAATTAACGAACAGACAAAAAATGACGTTGCACAGATGCTGAAATTCTGTTTTGTCTGACGTCTATTTTTTTTATTGCAAGTACGCAAGTGAAATTGCCCTGAAATTATGAATAGAAGATTGAAAGTTATATCGAAGTTTAACCGAATTAACGAATCAATGAAAAACAGTTTGACGTGAAATTAATTTTAAAAGTTGAGAATCTATTCACTTGCATTTTCAGATTTCAATCAATTTTTGTCAAACAAAATATCCATCAAAAATTTACAGTTTTCCCTGATTTCTCATAAAACCCTGAAATAATTGGAAATTCGAAGAATTATTCCCTCAAATTTACACTAAGTTGAATAAACAAAGAATTGTCAAAAATTCGGAGTTTTTCCCGCCTTTTTACCAGAATTTGTAATTTTTAATTTGAAAATGGCTTAAAATTCGAGCCAAAATTCGTCCCGCCAATTTCTCTGTAAAATTTTCAAAAAAGTAAAATTCAAAAACACAACTCCAATTATCAACTTACCCCGGAAACTGAAGTTTTGTGGGAACTTCTGTAAAAAAGTCAGAGAAATCTCCAATTTTCAATGAAATTTTCAACAAATAATGTCCAACAATTTATCGACAAAACGTCTCCACCAATTATACCAAAGAGAAATGTCGCTAAATCGTCCATTAGACCCCGCAATTAGCCCCTGCTAACGAAGACACACCTCTGAATAGATAAACAAATTTACCAATTACCCGGATTAACAAATTCTTTTAACATTTCTCCACCTTTCTGATCCAATTGAGACACGAGAGAACGCCCTGCAGCTTTTGATCTTCTCCCTCGTAACATTCCCGAGTACGGAATTTAAAGTGGAAAATGTTGCGAACAAAGTGGCACTGATGGTTGGCGACAGGCGAAGAAGAGTGAGACAAGCAGCACTGGATACTCTGGCAGTACTTGCACAAATTTACGAGCCCGAGGTGACGTCAAAAGAAAATGTTATTTGCCCATCTATTATGTACCATCACGCTCTGATAATTTGTTTATGGTAATTACACTGTTTAAAGTTTTATTTATCATCCAGGAAGTGCTGAAGGCAGGAAATAGAGCTGCCAAAGAGTTGAAGGAAGGAACAGAGATGGTGGCAGCGATCAGGGCGAGACTAGCAAGAAAATCTCTGCCGATGGTCTCCGCTGATGGTCTCGTCGTCTACGGACTGCAAATTTCACCAACTGTTCAGATCGCCACTGGTAACTTCAATTCTCACTAATTCTCATTAATCACTCATTAACGTACCAATAAATCCCTAATCAATCATTATAAATCACTATTCATTCATTTACTACTAATGGATTGGAAAGAAAAATTAAGGGAACAATTAATATTGAGAGAGTAATTACTCAGTAATATTATTTCATTCATTTTGGGATAGTAAAGTGAATATTGGGTTTTTTTTTTAAATTCGTAAATAATAATAAATTTGTTTTAGGGCCTGATGTTGATTGGATTGTTGCTGGGAGTGGCTCAGTGTCTCCAGGAACCGGAAGAGCCAGGGGTCAGGTGATTCCACCGAATGTCAAGGCGGGACTCGATAAACACAAGTGATTAATTCATCTTTTAAATTTATCTTAATGGTTGATAGACAAAGAGAAATTTAAAAATATTCAACACCATTTCTATTAATTACATGAAGAACCTGTTGAACTAAATTTATTTGGTTCATTCATTCAATTAATTAATTCATTTGTGATTGATTAATACTTTTTAATTTATTACTTATCTATTCTATGATTTTATTATTGTTTAAATAATTCCAAGATCTAAATTCTCTTTGTCTTTTGATTTTTCAACGGAAAAATGAGGAAAAATTATTGAAATATTTCGTTAATTATTCGCTTCGGCGTTTCGGAATTTTTTTCTACTAAAAAATCTTGAGGAGTTCAATGAACCTTTGAAGATGATTCCAATTCGATTAATAAGTAGAAAAATGATAATGAAATAAATAATGCAGTGGCAGGAAGGAGAGAGGGGCAAGGAAGGATAATAAAATGATTGTCCAGAGGAATGACAGGAGAGGTGGTAATGAGAGTAATTCTGTTTCAGGAATGAACAGGGGAGTAATTCCCCCTCATCTCGACCGAGTTTCATCGCCCAGGGAATTTCTCTGCATTCGAAAAACGAACGTCCAGTTGCCTGGCAGTTGCTTCCCCCTGACAAAGTGAGCATTCGTACATTGTTTATTAATTCTAACCGACCCCCCCAATTAACCTAATCGCCATGCCTGAAATTTCCCACAAATTACACACGTCTTCCTAGTTGACACCCAACAATTATAAAGTAATCACTGAAATTTCTATTTGCCCCAGTGGATGGAGAGATTAAATTTCCATTTCGATTGACTGATGATCAGGTTAGATATTTTCCATGATCCATGACGTTATACCCTGATTAATCCATCATTCTTCATCAATTTTTATATCAATTCTTATTATCAGGTCTGATGAATTTATTTTACATTTCAGGACGGGAATCATTTGCCCCAGGATATTGAGGACGACTGCGGCAACGAGTCTCCAATATCTATCGGTAAAGTGCCAACAGTTTCTAATCAATACGTCATGTTAATTACATGTTATTAATAATTAAAGTAGTACTGGAGGCTTTGAAAGTTGAGCAATAACTTTTGATCTAGAGACTTTTTCTACTTTGAATCTCTAGAAGTCAAAAATTAATTCTGTAGAAAAAAGTAGAAGCTATTGATTTTATAATTCATTTTTCAGGGAATATGTCTGAATCTGGGGATATTTTGACATTTTTGTCAGGATTTTTGTCTGGATTCGACGAATGTGTTGAGAAATAATTATTTGGGAAAATGTAATTTGAATATCGCTGAATATTCACCATTTTTTTTTTCATTTCTCTCACCACATTTAATTGCCAAATTTGAAATTTTATTGAAAATTAATAATAATCGTACCCTTATCATATACACTTATGATTAAAAATGATTGAATCTAAAAGGAAAATATCTCGAAAATCGTAATATTCCAAAAATATAAAATAACGTTAAATAGTCCTGTCTTTTCCTGATTTTTTGAAATTTATTGCTAATTATTTGCCCAAATAACTAAAAATCTTTATTTAACCGATAAATCTGATAATGAAAAAGGATTAACGCTAAAGAATACCTGTACATTTGATATTCTCGGAATGAATTTTCAATGAGTTCAAATTATCCCAGAAGACGTCGGGATTGTTGAGAAAATAGTGCACGCTGATTAATTAATTTATGTTGGTTTAATTAACAGAAACAAGTAGTATAAAATCACGATACTCCGACACGTACAGTCCATTCCTCTCGCCCTCAGACACCCCTGGAGAGATTTACCGAGAGCCCCTGAACTCGTCTCTCCTGAAGAACGACAAGGACGTTATCATGAAGCAGCGGAAGACCGAGGAGAACTTCCACAGGAGAATGGATCAGATTTATGCCGAGAGGAGGGATGACGTGAGGCTAGAGTCGAGGATACCCGTCCCTCAGTTCGTGGATCGTCATATTGTTGTTAGACACAGCACCGCTTATCAAAGGAGACGAAGACAAGAGGGTGAGGATCCTCCACCCTCTTCAGCACCACATACGTCAGGGGGATTGAGACGTGGTGATGGCGTCGACTCTGAAGTATGACGTTTTTTCTTTTTTTTGTTCCTCACTATTTCATTACCGTTTTTAATTATTTCTTGCGGAAACTATTCTTCCCTTTATGCATTTTATAAGTTGAAAAATATTATTTCATTTTATTTTTTGAGTCACTTTATTTTATTATTTTAGAAGACAGAGTCATTAAAGATTTATTGTCGATTTTTAAAATAATTGAATCCTCTGGAGATCTCTGAATTTTGAAAGCGATTTATTCAAACCGAGAATTGTTTTTTATTATTTAATGTATAAATGAAATTTCGTGAGGGCATTTCAATTTTTTATTCACTCATCTCAAATTCCATTGAGTTGCTGACTTTTTCTCAAATAAAATTCCTCCTCTCAGATTTCCAGAAGATACAGAAGCGATAGAATAAAATTTTCATCTCGACCAGCCTCGGAGGAGCGTTCCAGAGTATCCTACCTGGGGAATTCACCAATTCGAGATGGGTAAATAGATTATGAAAATATACCCGAGGAATCTCGAGAAAAATAAAAAGGTCCCTTCCATTATTAATTCGCTATTTCGTCTGTTCGTTGACATTTATTACGCCAGCTTCGACCCAGTGTACCGTAATAGTAGACGAAGAAGTGTCGTGAGAAGTTCACTGGAGCCCGAAGAAGCTGTTACTAGTTCAGTGAGTATTTAATCAGTGACTTGCGAATTCACTTAAATTGCACAACTGAAAGTTGTTTCCAGTTGAAAAAAAAAATTATTTAATGAATGCTAGGGGATTTTTCACATTGACAAACACCACATCAACAATTTCACGCACCCTCCCTTCTTCAATTGATCCCTTGAATAATTAATCTCGAAAATAATTAATTCATTAATTGCACATAATTCCTAATACAATATCTCGGAATCCACCAGAAATTCCGAAATTTTTGTACAAATCTTTTTTGTAGAACAAAAAGAACGCTTTAAAAAAGGTCTCAATGAAAATTTCGGTATCTGTCCCATATCCAGAGAAAACTTGCATACAAAATTAATCGATTTGCTACTCTTTATCTCCTTGCTGCTAAATTAATTAATCGGAAAACTAATTGTTGTGAAATTGATTGACATTCTTAAAGGTTGAATCGAGACGCAACAGTTCATCGCTTTCGGGATCGATCCATCCATTTTCACAGGTTCAAGAGACCGACCTGAGAACTCGTGCTTCACAAACTCCCACACCAATCAGGTGAGTTTTTTTTTTACCAAAGACATCACGTGAAAATATAATTATTGTGGGGGGAAATTTCACCCACGCGTGACAGTACGTCACCCCCCCGTTTTTCCATGATTCATCGATCACCGTCATTCCCTGAAATAGCTTGCGTGTCAAGATCCAAAAGGTGATAACGAAAACTAGTCCAAAACACAGACACCAGCGCATTTTCTAACCGTCAAAATGGTAAAAATATTGGTATTTGAATTTATCATATTGAGGCGTTCGAAGTGGGTCAAAGGTGCCGTTGTTTTTTCCAACTGCAGCAGTTATTAATAGTGCGATAGTCAAGAAGAATAAAATTTTAAGCGAAAATGAAATTTCTGAAAAAAATTCAATTCTGCTAAACGTCGATTTTTCTCGAAATCTGTCGTTTTGAGGTGAAAACGTTAAAGGACTTTTCTGCGGCTGATTAATTTTCCGACAGAAAAGGACTTTTGGTATTTCTCTTTAAAACCATTACTTTTCGAGATCAGTCGGTATTTGACACAACTGGAAATCTTGACTTATCTCTCTTTAGCATTCATCGTGATTAGCGATTTATCTCGAAAACAATCGACTCCAGGTGAAAATGTTAAGGGACTTTTTTACAGCCGATCGATTCTACGACAAAAAAGGTCTTTTGATATTTCTTTCTAAAATCAATAGTTTTTGAGATCGGACGGTATTTATGGAAATTGGAAGATTTGACTTCTCCCCTTTATCATTTCGCTGCGGAATGATTGCATTTATTTTTCATTATCTCGCGGTTTATTGGTTAATGTAAATATGCAGATCTAATGCAATATTAATGAGAGCATAAATATAATACTTCAAGTGTAATATTTAGTTCAAATAAACCGATCACAGTGTCCAATCGAAGGTCACGTTACGAATTCAATTGATTATTCAATATTCGGGGGTTGATGTTGGCTAGTGGCAGTAGTTTGTAATTATTGAAGACACCCCCACCCTCGACACTTTATTAATTCATGAATTAACGAGGTTGAAGTCGATCCAGGGCAAATTCAAGGTCCAAATGGTTTAGAGTTGTGCCCATTCCCTCAGTTCAAGTACATTCTTGTCAACAGGGGAATATAGACGAAAACTTTGTAAATTATTCCACTAAGCTTTCCATTTTTCAATTACCTCAACATTGTAGTCACAATAAATTTCCTCACTTTCCGTCTTTCCCCTTGTTATCTTCCATTTATTTTTTCAACTCCCCCGAAGACTTAATCAACAATTCATAAATAATCTAGAGTCTTTTAAACCATCAGTTAATCATCGCAATTTTAAGTAGATCTTTTTTTAAATATATTTTTCTTATCAGTAGGATAAAAAAACACTGAATTTTGTGCATAAAAAAATTTAATTAATTATTTACGTTAATTATTTATTATTGATATCGACTGAAAGAATAATGTATTTCATTATTCTTTTCGGTAATTTATTTCTTTTTCTTCTAAATTTTTATTATTAATACCAATAATAATAATCATAATTGACGTTAATTATCCGTTATCGATATTTACAGTTAATAATTTTCATGGGAAAAGGACAAGAGAAAGAACTAAATAAATATTAGCAAGGAAAATAATCTAATTAATTAATTTCTCTCGTAATTTCTACCTTTTTGTTGATTTGTCTTTTTTTCCCGCGTAACTGAAGCTGATAATGCATTGCAAAGGAAAAAAACTGAGCAAACAAGGAAATTATCAACGTGAATACGAATTTATCGAACTGGACTCGAGTTCGCAGAACATAATAGGAAAAAAAAAAGTCGATATGTCGGTGTGTGATGTGAATGGCATGCGGGACCATTAGGTTTCTGAATCCTCAGTTCCCTTATCTTTCGTTCCTCCTCACTGAATAATTCACCCGCACACAACGTTAAACTGACTTTGGTGGCTTACCATGGAGGAAAACCAAACCACCAACTTTCCTCCATCGGGAAATATCGATTCAGAGCCAATGTATCGGATTTGGAAGTTTCGAGTTCGGCTACTTTGACGCTTGTAGGGCTCTTTGCCTCTCGGGTTCTTTCGGAAGTATTCGGAGATTAACGGCGATTAATGAGGACAGGATTTTACTTCAGTCATTTGGGAATTAGTTCAGACCTTTAGGATTATGAGTTGTCCTTTGTTTTCGGGGATTCCCTGGGAGTTTATCGAGTTTTCGGGGATTAATGGGAATTAATGAGGATAGGGTTTCCATTTAGTCGGATAGGAATTAGAATATTATTAGATCATGTTAGCTCAGATCTTTAGGATTATGAGTTAACCTGTTTCTCGGGAATTTCTTAGGAGGTTCTCCAGTTTTTGGGGATTAACCGGAATTAATCAGGTCAGGGGTTTAGTTAAGTCATATGAGAATTGGTATGTTATCATAGTTCATATTAGTTCAGCTCATTAGGATTATGAGTTAACCTTTTCTCGGGAATTTCTCAGGACCTCTTCGGATTTCCGGGCGTTAACAAGAATTAACCAGATCAGGGGTTTAGTTAAGTGATATGAAAATTGGTCTGTAATCATAGTCCATATTAGTTCAGCTCATTAGAATTATCCTTTTTAGTTATCATCTTCTCGGGAATTCTCCCGGGAGTTTCTCGAGTTCTCTCAGAACGTCTCCAGCATTGAGGAGAATTAATAAATAAAAAATTAAAATTCAATTAAATAATTAATAAAAATTAAATTAAAAACATACTTTTTCAATCTTTAAACTGAATAAAGGATAACTAACAATTTAATAACAAAAATGTATGAAAATCCAAGTATCAAAACTATTAAACTTACTCATTCCATTTTCGCAACTAAAATATTTTTATTAATAATACTAGCTATAATACATTCTTTTTGCTTTCAATGTACACAAGATTTTTTTTTATTTTTTATAAATTACCTCGGTATGGGAGTCCTATGGAGAGGGGATGATGCCGGAGAGGGGACGGGGTGATTGTGAAAGGGGGTGAGGGGACGATGGAAGGTGATGAGGGGTGATGAAGGGGGTGAAAGGGGGGAGTTATGGGAGGGGGTAGAAAAGTGAAGTAACCCATGAAGGTGGAAGGTTGAAGGTGGGGTAGTATTTTTCCCCCCTGTTTGGAGGCGGTCAGCGTTGGGTTAACGTTTTAGCCCTATGCGGGCTATTGGCCAGTCGTGCGTGCTTTAGTGCTCGTGAATATGTCGGCAATAGTTAAATCCAGTCTCTCCATGCTCTCACCAAAATATTACCATTACAACGATTTATCAACCAATCACTCTCACAAATAAATACCCGGAATGGTCATTCCTTTGGTTCTGTTTAAGAATTCATGAGATGAATTCTACCATCCAATCAATTTGGGGTATTCAATTACGGAGTAATTCCATTATATTGAACCATTTTAATTAGTTATTGAAATTCCCGGGGACTGGAATAATTACCATTTTTTTTTTCATTGTTGAATTTTAAACTGAAAATCATTGCTTATTTGATTATGAGTTTGGAAATTGTTGGATTTAATTTTTTGGGTTTTGGGGATTAGGGTGGGGAGAATTTTGGGGAAATTATGTATTCTGAGTTGAAATGATTTTGAAATACTGTGTTTGGCCTAGTGTTACCAAGGACAATGCTAAACCACTTGTTAACACCTTCAATTGTGGTAATACGGAAATTGTTAAAAGTGCATTTCGCTGTTGTCCGTGCGCGTTCAGACGGAGAAAATCCGTTGGCATTGAAAAAGTGGGTGATAATCTATCAATTACCAGTGATATCGGGAGAGCTGGTACACCGGTTATTGCATTGAGACTCAATCAGCGCGTGGACTCCATGTATGTTATTTTTATTGGTTTTCACTTGTTTATTTTGGGATTTATGGGTACATTAAACCTTTTGCCAAATTCAGTTCCCATTTTATTTACACACGAGAATTCTTTTGTTGATCTGTTTTTATACTTTTCATTCGTTTCAAAACATTTCCTGGAAATTACTCTGGTATTTTCATGTCTCGCTTGATTTTTTTCGAGGTTCCTGCACCGCATAAAAAATTATTGCTAAATTTTGTTGCATTGTGATCAAAAATGCCATATTGTTTATGAAAATTTCACGGATTATATTTTTTTATGGAAAAGTAGTAAGTGTCCAGTGATTTTTCATCTGAGTTTTAATTTCGTTTTTTACGAATAGTTTGCAATATTTTTCTATTTTCATATCAAGATAAAAAATTTTCCTGGGGTGAAACCGAAATTTTGATAAAGATCGTATTTTGGAATGCCCTGGTTATCGATTAATCCAAGAGCCATTACGGGATCTCATACTAAAAAAAACCGTGATTAATTGAATAACAGTTCTCATTATAGTTCCAGAGACAAGAATAATGTGGACGAGGACAACGAGAGGAATGATTTCAACCCCCAGCCTAATTTCTACCCGACATCACCCCCCAGCGACCAGGCGTCTCAATGTTCAGGTAAAAAATTTATAAAAAGATTATCAGATCGACCTTTAACTCCATCAACAACGCAGATAATGAGTCACGAGAGGTCTGGTGTATCTCATTACCCCCAGAATAAGACTAATTAATTTCTCCTAACTTGCCGATCATTTTTCCACTCTCCAATTTCTCGCAATTTCGCGATTTGTCCGCGACAAAATCCCTTATGGTCAATCCCGCGTTCATATATAAAGTGGAACGTGAGGTTCTTAACCTCAGGCATATGTACATACACAAGTGCTTTGGCTTGAACCGAGACAATCCTGGGGAGGGTTTACGTGTTTTCATCCAATCGATAAAATCGTGTTGGTCAAGTCTAACGACCGAGAGCCAACGGCCGCCACTTCACGACAAAAAAAAACGGCCCCAGGACGAAAATGTTAAAATAACGGGGAAAAATAAATTCCAACAACTAAAGTATAAAATCCACATCCGGGAACAAATTTGCCAGGGATTAATTTGCTGGGGAGAAGTATGATGTTGTATAAAAAATGTTATTAAATAAATTACTCAATAATTAATAAACTGATTATGTAGGGAAATTTTTTACAAATTTGAACAATATAATCATGATTTAATATTATATTTATTCTAGTGCATATCACAATATTTGATAAGCTGCATGAAAAAAATAATAGTCGAATTGAATATAAAACATAAAATATAAAATATATTCAAATAGGCGATTACCATTTTTCTATTTTCTATACTAAATCTCTTGGACATTAAATCTAATAATATTTAAATGATTGTCACTGAGGCGCTCATAATTTCAGATAGTAATTCTATAATCGGAGATATAAAATCAGTCTCAAGGGTTTTACGCACTACAACATTCAATATAAATAAAAGCATATCGACATTACCCCCTCCCCTGATTCCTCCACCGTATTATGAATATTTCTCTGAGTGTACAAATTTGATATAATGGCAAGTGCCATAATGAAGTTGTCAAAGGTAAGACATTGTTCTTGTTCCATGAAATAATAGAATAAAGTGAGTTAGAGGGAGTGAAGTTGGGGATTTGGCGACAAAGGCCTGAGTAAATGGGTGCAAGAGGCAATGAGGAGCCCCTTAGGATAACGGGTCTGAGGATGGGAGCAGAGGGAGGGATTGCTAGATTGATTCGATTTATTCTCGCATAGGCTTCTGGAGTAATTCAATTTCTAACGTGATTCAATTGTCCCGTACCCTCTGAAAAGGTACCGATCATGTGCCTTACGGAGCGTCGAGTGACTCCTCCAATACTGGAATCGATCACAGTGAGACTGAAACGAGAATCATCGATAATCCCAGTGATGAGAGCAATCAGGAGGAAAACATCATCGGGGAGAAATCATTCGATGTCATCACTGACACCAACAATCCGTCCAGACCAAATTCCCTTGATCAGGTAATTTTTTCAAAACATCTATTGTCATTTCAAAATTATATCACCTCCCCTCGTCCTTATTTATTTCTCCTCATGAGCATAAGCTATATCTACTGATGCAACAACTTCAACAACATTTTCAATAAATAAAAAAATTTCATGAATTTTCGTCGGAACTAATCTGAATGTAATCTTGGAAATCGTTTAAGGAATATTTAATTAATAATTAATGATGTAACATGTGATAGATGATTAATAGAATTATCATTTTTTTTTATAAATTTTTGAACAATAAATAATATGAGAATAAAGTATTCTATGACGATTTCTTTGTCAAGATTTCTCATCATTTTGAATTTTCAATCTAAGACTATATAAATGTAATTACTGTTTCTGTAACAATCATTTAAGGCAATTTGGAGTCTGATATACTCTTCAACCTCACTCATAAAATCCGCTTCCAAAAATTCGAAATACTAATTAAAATTCAATAAAAATTTGTGAAAGCGTTAAATCGGCTCTCTTAATTAATTAGACATGTAACATAAAAATTTATTGATAAAAATAACCATAAAAAGCTTTCTCTCAATCAGAACTAGATTTTGCTGAGTTGTTTGTCATATCTGCAATGACTTTGAATGTTGAAATTGTTTGAGGTGGTGATGAAGATTCTGTCGAGTGGAACGGAGTCGACGGATCAGGACAGGGAGGGCTCGGAGAACTCTGGAGGTAGTAATAACAGTGATGATAAGAGTGAGCCAGTGAGACTGGCAAGGTCTGCCTCCTCAGTTGTCTCGTATGAGACCAACTCGACGGACTCGACGATGAGGATAAGTGGTCCAGTCCATGCTAATGGGATCAAGGGGATTGCCTTTGATCAGCAGAGCGTTGGCACTGACACAGGGGATGCCCCGGACATATCATTAGTACGTTAAATAGACTTTGACAATGTTTTACTCATTATACAACTGCTAACAAGTTCTCATCATAAATACTTTTTCACACTGATAGAACATTTCAGTTGATATCAACAAGACTCAGTACTTGTTAGCCAATTGCGATTGAATATTTGGTAAATACTTTTGGTAGTTACTGAATTATCAATTGATTAAGTGATTAATTGGTTAATTAATTAATTGACTGATTAATTGGCTGCTGATGGTTAATCATGGTTCCGATGAATATAAAAATGAAATAGTATATAGTGTCGTACCGATCCTCACGAGAGTTTATAACAATAGGTGGACTTACAGGAATTCGATCGAGAATATTCGACCGAAGTGCAGATCGATATAGAGTCGAGGGTGAGGGCTTCCATTTATCCAGAGACAAAAACACACTTCCAGCAGACGGAATCCCGCAAGCCGAGTCCTGATCGACGCTCGTCATCGGTGGAACATGATAAGATCGCAAGTGCTGTTAATTCAGTGTCTATAATCGTTGCTTCACGTCCCCATTCACGTGCCACAACCGGTGAACATCGAGAGCCAGCATTTCAGCCACTTGACTACCGTCAGCCGCACACCAATGAAACCACTACTTCCGCTTCAATTTTTCAAGTTTCTCGTGCCTTCGAGGGTACTGAGTCCATTGACGTCATCACCGAGCAAGTTACTGTGGTCAGTATTTCAGAGAATTCTGCAGAGTAAATTCCATTTACTTTCCACCAACTTTTTTAATAATTCTGTCTCATTTCTCGAGTTTTTTTTTTGTTCATTTTTACTCCTTCGATTACTCGTACACCACGAAATTTTTAGATTTTACTGGAAATTGAAAACCCTTTGGTTTTTTCGATGATTAAAGTTTTCTTTCAGCATGTTTGTATAATACTTGTGTTTTTTATATAAAAAGGCATAGAAGAATCTATTTCTAACTATTTAGTCAAGTATATTTTCAGATTTTCGACGTGAACTTTAAAAAAACATTGATTTTGCTTTCAAATGGAAGCAAATATATTATATTATAAGCAATGAAATAGAAATTTCCCACTTGTTTAACATTGAAACATAAATTTTTGATAAGTATTTCAGCTTAACTAAAAATCGATTAATCTAATTTCAGGGAACGGCTGAGAGTTTCGAGGATCTTCCAAAGAGCCCTGAAATCCACGTTGTAACAATCAGTAAAGTCCAGCGTCAGGCGACACCCCAGAGTGAGGGTGTGTTACAGGGGGTCGTTAAAATCCACGGGGTTGAAACCACCAAGAGATTACCATCCAGAGTTCCACGAAGTCGTATAAAATCACGTCCTGGTGTCAACAAAATTGCACCTCTAGGCGGTCATGCGGACAAGACACCAGCAAGATCTAAACCAGTTACAGTACAGTGTATTTCACAGTTGGAAAGCAATGATTGGTAAAGTTTGCAATTATCTCGTCATTTTGCACTTAAAAATTTCCACTGCATTTATATTAGTCCCACCTTAAAAATTAAAAGAAACGATAATTCCCAATTATCTGTTAATACTAAAAATCACTGACACGAGAAATAATTTTCCTCTAGAAATAGTTATTTCTTTTACTAAATCAAAGAAATCTTTAATCAATTCGAATGACTTGTTCGAATCAAATATGCAACGAAATCTGTGCTATCGAAAAATGTCATTTCACCAAAGAGCCTTTAAATTTCTAATAAAATTCCATTGTAATTTATTTAAAAAAAAATCTACCAGGGATTCATATTCCATATATAGTAGAATCCCAATTTCTTTTTTCGCGTATCTTTCGGTTCATCCACTCTACTATCTGTTAATTTTCTTAAGGTCTATTTTGGATCGGCTTTAACACGTTTTGTGCGGGGTATTTTCTCCTAGTCTATTTTTCTTATTGTTATGAAAAAATTTAGTTCAGAATTTTTCGCTTCCCCTACAGCCCCCTGCACGCGTCCATAACGTCCATACCCTACTGTACATTGAATTCTGTTCATTTATTCATCCATTTACAAATCTATCTAACGAGAATATGATCATATGTCATAATATCATACTGTGAGAGAAGAATTAATAATAACAAAGGTGATGCTAAATTGAGAAGAAAGATTCGAAGAGAAGGAAAAAAATATCTGGATTCATCAAATAGAATTCGGAAAATTAATTATTCGTTGCAATATGATCCGGCCATCCTGTTCAAGTTATTTGTAAAATTGAATTCAACTGAATTTTATAACTGATTCCCTTCAGTTTTGTTATTAAATAATTAATTAATTTAGTTTCGCTGGAAAATTCGCGGGTGGAGTCATTACCGAAAATGCTCTGGGTTCGTCGAGCAATCGATAACCATTAATAAATGATGGACTGATCTCCCAAATGTGTTCTTAATCCATTTTCCCAGGGAAACAACAATTAGGGGATTGAAGTCACTGTCAACAATAGCACGACAACAGCCTGATCAGTTGGACAGTTGTCCCCAGGGCACTGTAGGTCGTCTATTAGGCCGGCATGTCAGAAACCTGCGCTCCCAGGTGGCTCGAACTGCCTGCCTAGCCGCTGGCGATGTCTTCAGCTCGCAGGCCCGCTGTATCGATCAGGTAAATATTAAATTTCTCGTTTCCTTACGTAAAAAATTGAGGCATTCTGTGAATAATTCATGGAGCCCTGTACCCCCCGAGCGGATTCTCTGTTTACCACCTCACGTGCCGCGCAAATGGATATCACACTGCAGTATTTATCACTCCAGGAGCTGGAGACTAGAATTATCCAATTCACGAAGATCAAGTTTGAATTTTTCTATTAAGTGGAAGAAAGAGATGTGCGGTGAAAAGTTTGGTGCATGAATTTTTAGGCAACGGAGAGTGGAAATCGTTGCATGACGGTTTAAAAAATTTCTTCACTTGGTAGGAGTAATATGGAATAAACTCAGAGTCATTCGAAGAGGATAAATAGTTTAAATGATAGTTTGAAAATGCGAGGTGAGGCGCCGCCATTTTGGAAGCTTCTTCTATGGCAGGATCAGGGGGAGGGGGTAGTCAAGAAAAATGGGGGCACCTACATTATTTCTCCTTTTCAGGAAAGAATTTGAGTTTTTGTATTCCTATTTTTTGTGAGGGTTTGATTTCCGTCTAGAAGCCGAATATACGTGAAATCAATCGTTCGTAAATTATTGACAATCGGCGTCTTATCATAAAATCCGCGAAAACCCAATAAAGGTTACATATCTAATTAACACACGTAAATTGCGACAGAAACAAATTTAACACCCACATCCAACTCAGTTTTAATCGAACTCGATTAAATTATAAATTTCCACTAGTATTGTAATACAGGCGGTTTCATGAATAAAAAAAAAAAATTAAAACTCACGTATTGAATTTGTGTAGGTAAAATCATCAATTGTTGAAATTGCATATATTTAAATTTAAATAAGTGTGTAATTTAAACCTGCAACCCCAATAAAAATCCAATAAAATTCTTCACGGAACGTTTGAACGACTCCAACGCAATTTTTTCGTGTGTTTTAATATTGAGTGGCCTCCACTGACGTCAGAACTCTCATCCCCAAAAATAATAAACCTCTGAGGAATCTGTGTCCCTGGAAGCCATCTCCATAATCAAATTTCCATTTCTCCTCAGGACCTCGACGACATCGCAGGTCCCCTCCTCCAGAGAACAGCCGACACAAACAAATTCCTGAGGGCTGACAGCAATGCAGCCCTCGATCGCATGATCGAACACATTCCACCTCATAAAACCATCACAGTTATTGTTCATCGTGGTGCCAGGTACATCATCGTTTTTCAAACATTTGTTTATACGTGGTTGAACTGTGATCATTGTGTTTGCAGTCATCAGAATGCAGTGGTGCGTGCAGCAACTGCAAGGTTGCTTGCATCAGTTGTCGATAGAATTGGGGCTGATGCTGTCATGTCCTTGCCGAGGGATGTGAGGGATAAATTACTTGGGGCTGGGGCAAAACTCCTTGGTGATGGCAACTTGGACGCCAGGTGAGTCGACACTAGAAGTTCATCATTAAATCGTCACACAAAATCTCTAATTTTAGTGATTCTGATAATTTTTTCGATACAACAATTGTCAAAATATATCATTTTCCTCAAAAAATCTGTTACACGATGACAAATTCTGCAAATTTATGTTAAAATTCGGAATATTTATCATTTTTTTTTAATGTTAGGAATTTGCTGTTATCATTTGACAGAATCTGTCAACGAAAATTCAAAGTTTCGATTAACAATAACTTTAAACAATTTATTTCATGAAGAGAACAGTTCTCTTTAACGCGAAAAATTCTTCAGAGATTTTAAAATTTCTCTCTACCTTCAAGAAATTCGATAGAGTTTTTGACGGAATGATAAAGTTCTTTATAAAAACTACATGAATAATCCTCTCTCCATTCCAGAAATTATGCAAAATCAATGTTCAAAAGGCTTTCGAGGTGTGAGGGATTCCGTCGAGCCCTCACAGACGCCGTCCCCGAAGCAACACTGCGTCACATCGACAAAACCCTCCGATCCCTTTAGTCCCCATAACTGAAGGAAAATTAACAAAATGTCAATAAAGCTCAAATCACAGCATGAAATAAAAACAAGTCTGCAATCGCCTCAAGCCCCTACAATTTTCCTAGTCTGAGTAATAACAAAAAAAAAATGCCGAATAAAAGAGCAGAAGAAATGCGCAACAGCTTGAAGCGAATCCCCATTTTTCATCTTTTTATCCCATCGACCGATTATTTATAAATAATCAACGAATCCATCGAATTTTTGTAATGAAAATTGCATCACATTTTGTAATACTGTTTCATCAGCTCCTTTGAGGACAGTCATTTATATTTATACGCGCAATTGTGTAACTGTATAGTTGTTTATGAAACCGAGAAATTGAATCGAATAAATAAAATTGGAAAAGGATCATAGAGTAAACTAGAATTAAAATACCTCACACTTTTATTAATGTCTATTACAGTGGTCATTTAAATAGAAAACATTACTTTCCATAAAATACTCATAGATTCACAACTGCAATAATTAAAATAATTATCAACTCTCGCCTATTCTAGTGCAAAATTAAAAATAATTAAAGAAATCCTTGATGATTAGTTCTGTTTCTAATCGATCCAAATTATTAATAATCAATTAAGAATAAAATGTGGAAACAAATACAATAGAATTATTGCCATCAGTAATAATATAACAATCACATGAATTTAATCCGTGAAACGTGACTAGTCGATCCCAATTTTTCTGTTAATTAGGTAATTGGGTAATTTCACCGATAATGGGTGACTCTGGGTTACAATGGCAGATATATTAATATCTGTCCGGATATATTAATATTGAGCTTCTCATTCGCAAGATAAATCAGTAACATGTCTAAATATTATTTTCCAAGATATTAATCACCGAAATATATCCAAGAATATTATCCACTGAAGTAAAATATCTGAAAATATTGTTTAACTTTTTCAATAATTTAATTGTTGATGCTTCTTCTCTATTATCAATCATTCCTATTATTATTATTATTATCACTCACTGTTTAATGATTGATTAATATGGGAGAAGAAAACTGGTAAATGCAAAATTATCCAGCAATTGTGAAAAAAAAACAACCAAGTGAAATGCATAAAAATAATTCTCTAAAATATTTTCAGATATTATATTGGACAATGATAACGCATGATATTCAGATGAGCGATATTTGCACGTGTGATATTTGAGTTGGTAATATTTTGACTGTTATTAATGTTTTTAAAATTAATGTTATTTTTAGTAATATTCAGACGTGTTGCCGATAAATCGAATGAGGGAAATTCAACTGATCACGTTTGACTCAATTAATTCATTAGTGTTTCATTATTTTTAATGAATAATTAAGGAATAAAAACGGGATGGAAATAGTTTGAATTAAGCTGTTAAGGTTTCCACTTGGCTGTCTGGTATTTCATTCTTGTCTTCAAGGGACTCGACACTCTTTGGTGAGGTTGACCCCTTGGCTGAGTCTGTTGCTGTGGTAGTAACTCCTGAATTTTCTTCAGTTGCGTCCGGGGTGAGGTTTATGCCACTCTCTGGTTTAATGTCGATTATGTGCAAGCGGAAGCTGAAGTTGCCATCATCACCTTCACTGTCGTATGTTGTCAGGTTTGTCGTCACGACGTGCCCATCAATTCGCTGAAAGGAAAATAAAGTTCAGAGCAATCGGTGAGAAATTGAGTCGGATAATTCATCTTGCGACGAGGCAAATCGATTTGAGTCGTTTTTTTTCGAGGATAAAAATATATTTAAAGTTTTTTTTGTAATTCAAAAATTCCCATGGGAAATTTCTGGCATTTTTTCCCCATGTTTTTTTGTCCTCGATGATTTTCCCCGTTTTTTCCCATTCAATTTTTTATATTGCTTCCAATTTTTCTCGTCAAATCAAGCATTAATTGTTATTGTAAACTTTATACAAAATATAAGCAACTGAAATAGAATCCATTTGTATTTCGGTGTAGATTATATTGAATGGAATTGAATATTTCTGTTAATTGCGCAACACTAACAACCATCCGCATTCATTTCCGGAAAATGTGGAGAATTTGAAATTCTCGTATTATGAAAAAAATAGTAGCTCTTTTCCACAGCAATTAAGATTTCATTTTGTTTTGCTAGTTTTTCTCGTACAACGGTGGGATATTTCGTTTAATGCTGAAAATTTGCCGGCGTCACACGATATCACTGATTTTATTTTCTTTGCTTTTCCACTTTTTTTTAAATCCCTCCTTTTTTTTACACAGTTCTCGGTGTGTTACTTTCCTTCCTGAGTAAGTGGAGAGGCTTTCTCGTATTTCCTTTTTTCTTCTACATCGTTCTCACCCCCCCATTTTATTCTTTATTTTCAACTTTTTCTCTCTTTTAATTTTCCCTCACGTTGCAACACTGTATTTTCGTTTGTATTGCACTGGACTCGATGAGTCCTCTTCGTATAAAAGAGGAATATGACGCTGAGAGATGTGGAAGGGGTTTAGATCGAATTTTTACTACGGAACAGGAACAGAGGCGAGTGATTGGCGGACATCCCACGTTATTATTAAAGACTTTTTTTAGTCCTTTTCACCGAAAAAACTGGCAAATGGAGAAAAAGTACAAAAGCACGGATGAAAGAGTGTAAAGGAAAGAAACATTGAAAAAATGTGAAAGAGAAATTACGGGGTAGAGCGATTTGACGTCAAAGGAAATTCTGATGAATTTGTATTGATTTCGAGAACAATTCCTACGAATTTCATGTGAATACGCGGAGAAAAATTGTTTAGATACCATTTTTCCACCGGAAAAATTACAATCTATCGGCCATGAGTCATTGTAATTCCATCGCTGGTGAGGGAAATTTTGTTTTAGTTTTTTCATACTCGGAAAATTTTTCAGTGCCAGGTGGAATTTTTCTCGCGGAAAAAAGTTGATACAAAAATTTAACGCTTTCTGGGAGAAACTCCACTGAAAAATTCTAATTGTTTTCCTGGTGTTTCTCATTTTTTTTTTCAATGCCCGCGATTTTTCTTTCACTTCGAGGCAAATGTTTAACGCAAAATTAGTTAAAATAAACATAAATTTGAAGCAAAAAATGTTTTCCCGCGGAATTACATCAGAGCGATTGATCAGAGCGAATAGATTGAAAAAGGAGAAGTTCCTTTAATTTTCCAGGCGAATATAGAAAAATGCCGGCAATTTTTCTTTCACTCTGGAGAAAATGGAAAACCCGGCGAGAGATAGAAGCTAGAGAAGGAAGAAAAACCCTGAAAATGATACCTGAGTAACGGAGGTCGTGTTGCCCCCTTCAGGAAGTCCTTTCCCTGAGAACAGTTCGCCGATTTTAGTGAAAGTTTTTGTGATAAAGTCGCTGAAGCTCTCCGCGCTTTCTGCAAATCAAAAAAGAAACACACACAAATTTAATGAAATGGCTATTGGCAACTTAACATTTTACTCTCCCAATTATAATTATCTGCCTCCGGTTTCCGATGCCTTAGAATTATTATTGATAAAGATAAATAGAATGAAAAATTCAAAAGACGTGAATGAATGGCCATTGGCTGGCAATTACCCGAGAACCTTTGGAGGTGAGACTTTTTTTTTGCATTTTTTCTTCAGCCCGTCCTTATACCCCAGTGGAGACGATTATTCCTGATCTTATCGATTTTGCATGAACCTAGAATATCATCGACACCCTTCGACGACTCTCGAGTTTTATATTCACTCTGGTATTACTTGATCATGAGATTGTCCTCTCAAGCGAGTTTATTGCGCCTCCTCCTTTCTCATATTTTTTTTATCCCTCGATTCAATTGGTTGCGGAGTTCATTTGAGTGATAATACGTGGAAAGAGAATTATTTCTGCCAATTAAAGAGGTTGCGCTAATTTGTTGGAGATAAGATTTTTTTATTATTTTGTTGTACCTTTGGTTTTGTTTGAGAAACATCATTTTTTCCTGACGAAGAGATTGCCGGAATTCTCTGGGGTGAATATATTGCAAATTTATTTCATATCGGATGAGTTTATTTATTTATTTATTTTTTTTTAATATGAGTTTTTTTCCGTGGAGTTTAATAATTCTTGAGTGATTCTCGTCTTTTTTCACGGGAAATTTTTTAAAACGATCTGATAATTTTTTATAATTTCCATGATTGCTTTTTTTAATTAGTCGTGAATAAATAAAAGGTTTAAATGGTGTGGGTTAATTAAAAAAACGAATTGAAATGGAAATGAAATGAAATCATTTTCAAATGACTAATCAAATGCCCATGAACTCCATTTTTTGTAATAGTCAAGGTCTTCGTTAGCGATAATTGTTTCTTTCAATTCCTATCAACTAATTATATTATTTAAATATAAAACAAGAAGTTATTATTATGGCATGATCCATCAGCATGACGTACCCCACGGAGATCTTTGATAACTTAATTAGTACGGGCATTAGCCCACTCCACTGAGAAAAAAAATCTGCAAAGTAAATTTACTTGCCACAAGTAAATATACGCAAATATTAGAGTTTGTAATCTGCGGGAAATTTTTACTTTTTTTTTTTCAGTGTGAACTGCTGAGCAGTTTTGCCTGAATTTTTTGCACGAAATTTCGGATATTATTACTGTGTTTCAATCTCACTGGAATTGCAGGATATTTTGTCCCTGAAAATGCAAAATTTCGTATAAAAATAAAAAAATACAATGAAAAATTCGTTCCATTTTTCCTAGAAAATCGACAAAAATCGTAGAAAATTCGGAGGGAAAAAAAAATCGTGTTGTTGTAACAGAATTTCCCTCAATTTCCAGAAAAACTCGAAACTCCACGATTTTTACTCGGAATCGCGTACGCTGCCCTCCAAATTTTCAATCAAAGCCCCGAAATTTTATTTTTTCCTCTCTAAACATCAATCGAAGTTGCGTGAAAAAAAAAACCGGTAGGAAACCGGTAAACGTGGTGTGCGTATTTCGCATCCAAAAACTCCTTCTCATGGAGGAAAATGAGATCAAGGTCTCCATAAAATACCCAAACTTTCACTACTGCAAAGGCCGCCATCCAGAATGTGCACGATCGTGTGAATAATTATCGTTCAGTAGTCCGCATAAATAAAAAAAGTTAAAAACCAGAGGAAGAAAAAAAAAATCGCAAAGATAATGAGCGACCGAAGGCAGTCATTCACTCGAGTTTCAGTCACTGTGTAATTTAAATCGCGTGCAGAAACTCGTGTATCAAATTTACAAGCACAACACCAATACAACAATAATTTTTGTTGCATCGATTTTTCCCTCCCCCTATTTGAAATGAAATAAAATATGTGGGTTTTGATATTTCGCTTTGATCCGTTTTTTCCCCTCTTTTTAGTTTTTCCGTTTGCGATGGATATGGGAAAAAAAAAACAAATTGCCGACCCGCGGAAAGGGGAACTGAAGAAGTAACGATGGGTTTGAAATATGAACAATACGCTAATGTTTATTGCTCCGTATGCACCCTTTCATCCGAATTTTATCGCTGTCATCTCGATTGTCAGCTCGTCAATTTCACGACGCATCAATAGCATAGCAGGCGAGGGGTAGATATCCGGTTGATTTTTATATCGGTTGTTATTGTGTTTACAGGTGAATAAATTGTTGTTACACCGGGTTGCGTCCCTTGATTGAAGAATTCGCTTGATATTAACAAAAATCGGTGACTGTCGCCAAAAAGCACGGTTGACAGCACAGTAACCGCTCCTAAGTGATCCATCTGAGGGATCTATCTTTAAGGCCCAATAAAAGTATTAACATCATCATATTTTAAGTCTCGAAATTCACTGTTGAGTGGTGGCATGTTCAACCATATGACCATTAGGTAATATTTACTGAATCATTAATTAATTTGAAAAACAGATTGTTTACTCGCATGATTCATCATGATTTGGAATAGTATAAAAAATAAAGTAGACTATGTATAGTATCGTGGCGATTCTCACGAGAAGGATTAAATTCCAGTGCAGATTAGAAGAATCAAATTCCAGTACATGAACCCATTAATTAATTTGTAATTAATGATTTGAAATCACTTCAAGATGCACCTCATTCTGGTAAGAATGATAATTATTGAATGTGAGTGGATCTGGCGGATATAGGATGATTTTGAACAGACGATATGAACAAGATGGCGTGTTCCAAGAATCGAAATTCGGTAATTATTACCGAATACTCGCTTGCCTCAACAAAACCGTTTTTTTTCTAAAACTGCACAGGAAATTATACTTTAATCAATCAACAATGTTTACAATTAACTCCACCGAATATATAATTAATCCAAGCGGATCGAGAAAAAATAGTCTACTCAATTCATCAGGTAACATGAACCGAATTGTTGTATCGGTGTTGGTCACTCGGTTATTCAATTAACCAGCTTGAAAAGGGAAGGAAAATCCATCACTCGAAATTAAAAGCTAATTAATTATCCCCTCATTGAGGCGCCGTGGAATGAAATCATTGTCAAAGGAAAATCATTTGCACTCGAAATATCATTTGAAAAATAGACATCGCGGGAAATTGAAATTGAATTATCCCACATTTTTCATCTTTTCTGTGGAAAATGATATTTCAACAATTGGTGTTATATTCGGGTGTGGATATATATGATAATAATTTATGCCTGGACTAGGGATATAACGGTGTGAGAGAGCGTGGATGGCAAACGACCCGATAAATTTTGCATATTTTACTGGCGTTCACAATGCGTCTCGGTACAGAGAGTGTACAGAATATTATATGCGGAGCCGATTCTCGTATAATATCCCATCCCCATTTCACCCCCTACAACCACCCATTTTTCCACCCAACCCTCAACACTAGCGATTATTATTACGACGGAAATCGCAGCAAGGATACCGCCCCTCACGTTATGTTATTCATTGGAATTATTCATGCGTTTGTCCGTTGAAAATCTTTTTTAAAAGACGAATTTTTCTTCTCTTTATCGCATACACCCGAAAAAATTCTATTTATTACATTTTCATGTTGACAAATGCACGTTATCTTTTTTCACTAAAAAATTGTAATAAATACTCTTTACGAAATTTTCAAGGAAATTCCTTTCTAAATTGATACCTGAACCATAAAAGGGTTAATATAAAATCAAAAGTATTTATTACAATTTTCTATTGAAAAATTATGAAATATCGCAATTAAAACTAGAAATTTGCGGTGGAATAGGAAGACATAGCGAAATTTTAGCAGAAATCTTTTTTGTAGTTCATCCGACGCTCTACACAAAAGATTTTTATAAAAATTCTTCTATCTCTCTCCATTTACGAGGTATCCAGTGATAGCTGATACTGATCGCCTTAAAAATCAATTTGCCCTACGCTCGAGCATCGCATCACAGAAATTTTTAAATATTCCTCTTATCTACTATCTTCAATTCTGCTACTTAATTGATAATCATTTCTTACCATTAAAATGAGCAGAAATTGATTGGAGCATAATGTCAAGTGCTTTCTAAATAATTCAGGAGCCAAAATTTAGATTGAATCCCCTAATTTAATTATTCAAGACTTGAGTGAAGTCGACGGGAACTCGGGTGCATATTTTAGGGAAAGCTTGCATTTTCGAAATGTCAGGTGCTATACACCAATTAGGAATGATTATTCCCATCAATTAGACGTCTTAAATAAGGCATCATTGTAATCGACTGAGCAGAGGGGTCGGTTCCTTTTCCAATTCATATTTGGCTCCCAAAAAAAATGTTTCAGAAACTCAATGAAGCTGAAAACTAGGGCATTTGATAGGAACAATAAATCCACAGTTTGCATTTCAACACAGTCGACCCCACACTTTTCCCACCGTAAATTTATTCAACCGACTTACGAATGCGCATATATGATTCCTCTCCTGACACTTACTCCACGTAAATCCCGAGGAAAAAACTTCTTTTTCAGAGATATTTTGTCCAATAGATTAAATATTCTTCGGGGGATAAGTGCGGTAGAAATAAATTGTCTTCCTCATGTTCCTGAATTCATTTATCTCGTTCTGGTAATTTACAAAATCATTCAATCACTCTAGTTTAAACCGCCAACAAAAAATAGATATATAGATATCAAGGAATTTTTATTATTTATTTATTTCATTTCGAGATTTTGGCAGACAGATTAAATATACTTCGAGGGAGAAAAGGTAAAGAAATCAACCGTCTCCTTCATGTTCCTGAATTAGTTTCTCATTTAACTTACAAATTTTAGGAAATTACTGAATGACTCCCATTTCTCATCAAGGAATTTTCATCTGGAGAAAGAATATTTTCATAAAAATGCATATATCCTTAGGAAAAATAATTTCCCTTCACAGTGCAATGTGGAAATTCTGTCATTGCGTTTTGAGATTAATAATAATTATTATCATGACAGCCTCAGAGCATGCGCTTGGAATTTCTCGTGTGCATCATCCACTGGAATAACTCGTTGATTCCTGAATCCCCTGAAATCATCGTATCGACGAATAGAATTTAGATAATCCAGAGGAGTTGACGTAGCTCGTGGGCTGAATTACGGAACAAAGAGGTCGTGCCCTCGAGGCAAGATATTTGCACAAGCAGTGATCTCTGGTGACCTTTTGTCCCGTTGTTGGAATAAACACATAGTGCAGGCACTTGTGTATGATGTTGCTTTATAAATAGCTGTTTGAACAGTGGTATTCATCGATAAATCAATGAGCGTTTATTAAAGCATTAACCAATTGTCTAGACCAAAATGTCATCCTGAAGTAAATGTCAGGCGAAGTCAATGTTAAAATAATTATTGACCTTAATGAATGTTACAAAAGGCTAACATAAGGTTTTGAACGAACGAGTGATTGTGATTTCCTGAAATTTCATTCATTCCAGAATATTTCATTTCATCCCTGATTATTAATTGATCAGACATTCATTATCATGACTTTATAATTGGCGAATTGATAATTCCTCACGTGGAGTTTGAGAAAGTGAAATCAAATGGTCGTAGTATTTTATAGTGACATTTCTTGCAATATTCCTCTTCAAATTAAATTCTAAATATATCGATGACTCCCCAATTCAATTATCACTCTCACCTATCGCCTCGGATCCACTCTCAATAATGGTAGAGGCACTAAAAAAATTATCTCGAAGCCTTTCCAATAATGTCCTCCCCAATCCTTTGATCTTGTAACCTTTACCCAAAACCCCCAAACGAACACTAAAAGTGCATTAGAGGAGGTAACGCCTGTACCGCTGAGCAGGGAATACCGCTCACTCCATTTTCTCCCCAATTATCGACTTGGAAATATTTTCAATAATAATGATAATGAACAATTTCATGACAGAATCTGACTGTTGAAAGAATTCCACACAATTAACTATTTTGAATATTTAAAAAATGCATGAATAATTTCACTATTTTTTTAGGTCTTTACAGCGTCAACTTGGCGGACTAGTAATCAAAGTTTTTGACAGTTTGACAGCTGGAAGTGTCATATTAGGCAGTGGTTAGTCGATTCGCGCGACATTCACGCATCGTTTGAGACTAATTCGAGCTCAGGATCTCCCTCGCCACAATAACTATCAAGAATTTTGTTGACGCCGAGAAGTGGTAATACTGCACACAGAAAACATTAACTATAAAATACGAGATTTTAGACGGAATTTATGATATTTTTGATCTCGTTGATTTTTTGGCGTCTTTTGTATTTTTACAATTCTCTCCCTTCTCGTATTTCTAGCTCAAATTTGTCGAATTATCTGCAACTTTCGTTGTTTGACATCTTTTTAATTTTCAAAAATCTGACGCTCATTTGGGCAATAATTCGCAATCTCCATCAGTTTCCGCCATGATTTCTAAGTTTCTGAGATTTACTTAATTTTTGATATTTTTGGGTTTTTCAATTTTTCCACCGTTTAGAGAATAATTTTCCCGTAAAATTCCACCGAAACAGAAAAAATAAAGGATTAATTAAAGGAGAATTGAGGAGCAAAAGAAAGAGGGCAGAAATGATCAATTATTGATTAACAATGCGCACTATTACATACCAACGTTAGTATTTGATTAGACTGGAGTAGTGAAAGAAAATAAATTCACCACAGAAAAGTATCATTACTGTCTGTTTAAGAAAAAAGTCACTTTACGCAATATCCTCTGAGCGGTATTGGAATGGTGCCCCGTGGCACGACACGACCGCCTCTCCGCCAGCCCAACGGGTTCTCTCTTAACTCCTCCATTAATTTCTCGTATTCTTAGGGAAATTACTCGTTTGCACTTGAAAAATAACGAGTTGAATGGTGAAAGAAGCCTTGAAACTCCTGTTTCACCGTTGAAAATGTGAAACTGGCATTTTGGCTGGATTGAGCAGCACATGCATTAACCCACTCTCGACAAAAAAAAAAAAACAGCTGTATAATTACCCCCCAGTGTTATCGATCACCAACTGCATTGCACATGCACCGCTAGCGTTATGTTTTATGTACAAACACATGTGATATATTCATCCAGGTGGAGATGGACGAATGATGCGGGCAGATTGTTGAGGCCCCCACACATATCGTGATGTGCACACACGGTACATGTACATTGTTAATAATGTGGTATTGGTAACGTGTGAAAACGCATGACCACATATAGGCTTTTCAAACGGGGATATGTGGCTAAGCGAGATGGACTCCGGAATTCAACGGTGTGCCCTATCACGTGCCGAAAACAGGACTTCACTTACAAAGCACATGTATCTCGGTGTAATTGTATGTACCTGAGGGTTTTGCCAGGGCACTTGGATCATTACAGTGGTGTATGTGTGTGGTACAACTACTTCCGGTGGTCTCCGCTCACTCGACACGCGTATATCGGATATACCTGATATTGGAGCACTGCCAGTACATGGATAACTCGGTACTTCACGGCTTTTTAGAATAACTGGTCGTCAATATTTTATGGGACTCATCTAATCACCGATCATCTCTCACACGGAATACCATAAATAGACGAAATATATTTTGTAGGAGGAGAATTTCATTTGTCAAATATATTATATATTATATCTTATGGTTAGTATTAGGAAATATACTTGAGGGTATCATTTTTTTTAGATGTTATATGCAATGTATATTTGACACATATTTATATATATTTTTATGTAATTTGAAATATATTTGCGGATCTGTTTTTGTAGAGGATATATCTATTAGGATAGCCTTTCGGGGGAAGTGCAATGGGTTTTACTTTTTTGCTTGGAAACATGAAAATTCGGGGAATTGGACATTTTTCAAAGGCGAGAGGGGGAGAAAGTTTCTTAATGTTGGAAAAGATTTATTGATGCTAGGAGAGAAGTTTCTGGAGTCAAGGATTTTATTTATTTTATTTCTTTCGAGTTCAATTTTTTTTAATCCAAAAAATCTGCACGTCGTTTTTTGCGGGCCATTTTTAACTCTAATAGTGGAGCAGAGAACGCCATTAATTATTAAAAATAATAATATTTATGGGATATTTTTACCGGGAATTCTCAATAAATAAAGTGCACGGAAAATTGTAGCTCTTCAGCATTATGTTATTCTTACTGGAATTTTTAGTGGAAATTGAGAATTAATTTGTCAACAAATTTATTTCATCAATGAAGAATTCTACAAAAATTTCCTGTCACTTTGCCATTGTTAAAAATTTCAAATGTAATCTTCCAAGAATGTATATCCATCTAGTCTCTAAACAAATCCGTATACAGAAATTTCAATTTCGGTGAGTCATACTGACAATATTGACAATTACGCGAGTGAAATTTTCAGTCATTGGAATGACCGGGTCGTAGGTGATTCCCGGATTTCCTCTCAACAAATATATTCGCATGCTGATAATTCCAGCTGCAAGGTCGGCTCCCATGATAACTGTCACCAGAGTTGCTGCTGATTAATTCATTCTGACTGATTGATCCACTGATTACGCGGAGTAAAATTGGAAAGATTACAATGATCATTAATTGGAGAAATAAAAAAATGACCAACAGGGCATTCAACTGAGGGCAAAAAATAAGTTGTGGAAAATAAAAAATAACTTACACCTCCAAACAAGTTTTTAAAAAAATTAATAAACATGAAGGTGAATGAAAATAATATTCGCCGCAATTTTTTAATCCACTGTATCACCAGCAACAACCACCGCATGTCTCCCATTAATACTCATAAATACATTTACACAATAATTGCTATCCAAGAGTCGTGTAACCCACTGTTAGCATTTCCGCGCATTAGCAGTCATGTATGCAAGTCGATTCCACGCGCAAACATTGCCGTACATGCGTGCAACTAGATGAAGAGTACATACGGCTGGGAGAGGCCTGGATTATGTACACGCAGAGATGCACGCACCAAAAAATTTCATTGAAAATTAAACCTAATTTGCTGGACTATTTTTTCAATGGGTCTTCTGTTAGTTTTTCATCGATTCTACTGAACTCATTAACATCTACAATATTAATTAGTTTGATTTTATAAAAATAATATTGTATTTTATTATCATAATATATATCAAATATATATTACATTCAATATAACATCTATCTGATATATTTTAATGTCTTATATCCATCATATATAATTCATATACGAATCATGTAAGATGATGATAATATATTTCATATATTTTTCTAGTTTTTGGTGGTTCATTTTTTTTTATTAAAAATGGGATGAGGTTGTTCGAAATTATTATTATTTTTGTTATTATATTTCATGATGAGATTTTTTGTGTGATCATCGTTAAGAGAGTGTTTTACTTACTGCGAATGTTGCGATCCAAGTCATATCCCATTGTTCTTAATGGATCGGCGGCGAAGAGGTTTCCGTCGTCATTGTTACCATTAGGCAGGGTTGGCCGTCCACCAACTAACCATCGATAAATGGCAGCCTCTGGCCTCTCCTCGTCAGGTAGTGCACCTGAAAAAAATCCCTCACAATAATTAAATCTACCAATTATAATTTTACCATTTACAATCAGTACATCCAGAAATAATTTCTGCCGAAAAGAATATTTAGTACATGTAAGTTAATTTTTCGGTTTTTCGCATCAGATATTATTTTCCCGAGCGCAATCACTCGAGATTTATATTTTTCTCCATTGAGTTACAAAAAATCAAATTCCAGATAAATATTTTCAGCTCTCAACTGAACAATGAAAAATAAAAAAAACCAGTCAACAATTACCTGAAAAGTTGTAACAAAAAATACCCAGCGCTCATTCACTCGCGATTGCCTGGAGATAATCCCCGGAATTAGTTTTTTAAAAAAGAGTAAAAAATACTTCGAAACTCTATTAGGAGATAAATATCATCCGGAATTATTCGTCCGTCGGGCGAGTGGAAAATTTTCTTTTTTTTTTTTTTCATTTTCATCTATTAATCTTTGGTCCTCCCGTTCTGTTCTTTTCGTGCACCAGTGGGAGCATCCACCCCCTCCCACCCTATCTCTCTCATACTATTCTCCGAAAAGTCTCTTTCGTGTCGTCTCATGGGACTCGTCGAGAATTCTCGAGTGCCTCGGAAAATATTCACGATCTTGGAAAACTAAAGTTTCCACTGGCCTCCCCCCTCCCCCGGCCCCTCTGCCCCCCCACCCCCCATTGAAAAAAGTACAGGGATGGAAACGAAGGTTTCCAGCAAATTTTTCAGGCTGAAGGGATACTGGAGAAGGTGAAAAAAAAAAATAGGGAACAGTGTGAATGTCACGTATAATTCAATTCTCAACGTCTGGAGATGCTGCGCCCAATGACCCCCCGAAAAGGAAAATGAGGGCTAGAGGTTTGGAAGGATCCCTGAGATTCCGCGTTGGCTATTATCCAATTTGCCAGGTTCCTCGTCAATTCTCGTTGGTGCATGGCACGTAGGAAGGCAATTGAAATCAATTTGTCTCGTAGCTTTGCACAATTTCTACCATTACTCTACTAGAGAGCGATCGTTAGGGGGTGAAAAAGTTATGGAGAATGTGCTATTTAAAAAATTGCTGTTACATTTATATCAACAATAGATTTATCCAGGAATATAATTTTAAGCTGAAGCATAATCTTCGGTGAAAGTCCTGGATCATATAGATATTTTTTTATTTGAATTCAATTTTTTTGTTATTACGTACTCTCAATAGATTATTAAATCAAATCAAATGAATATCTACATGAATTAATGCATGTATTAAATTGAATATATTCAATGAAAAAACAATTTATAGATATATTTAGATTAATTTCATTATTTACTTTATCTAGGAATTAAATTTTATTAAGAGAACTCAATGCATTAATTATGTACTTTCATCACAGATTGAAACAGCATCAGTGAATGCATTGAATATATCATTATAGATTTCATTTCTGGAATAGATTTTTTGTGCATGTCCCACAATGGGAGTAATAGAAAAAAAGGAAATAATGATTTTCCTACTAAAATGTATTACTTCGTTAAACAATAAAAAATTTATTTTTCTTTCGAAGCCATCAATTTGACATAATAATGGAGTGATTTGAAAAAAGGCGTTCATCACTTTAGACAGTCATTTTGTCATCCGAGAAACTTATTGAACAGTGATAATTGCCACTACATCAAGTTGAATAAAAACACGTCAATATCGCCCTGCACTCTCCTATATTAATAAACATTAATTATATTAACAAATCGACGTAACGAGAATGAGACGAAAAAATAGGCCAGTCAATCTATTAATTTCCAAAGACAATTGTCAATATTCCACTTGTTGATATACATCAAATTATAGGAGTCATGATTGACTGTCAGTCTCGTCATCCAGGTGTATCCGTTGGTGGATTTATACATATACACCAAACATTAGGGAGGACAACTATATCAAGAAGGGGTTGGGGGGTTGAGAGAGGGGGAGGGGGTGGTTCTGGTTTATGCACGTACAACTGCACCCGAGTGGAGACACCGATGCTCCGACCTAATTACACTAATTACCTTCACCGTCCACGGGGCTTCAACCGGCTAGTGAAACAGCTAGAAATGTTCACGCTCGAGCCACACGCCCATTCGCCAACCGCCAATCAGCGTGTACTATAATTAACAGCTGCACAATGCATACAGAGAAAAAAAAAAGAATTGACTGTATATTTATTTGTCGGGTTGCTTTTTGCCCCTTGGGATGACCTATTTCAGTTGGAATTCAACATCCAGACGAGAGGCCATTTTTTGTTTATTTTTATGGCGTTAATTACATTAATCAGTTTTTGGGGAAAAGGGTGGGGTTACCCCCTTTTTTCGTTGGTCACTATTTCTAATCCTTGAATTGCTGAAAGGATGTGGTATCAAGGAAAATCTTACTGAGAAGTTAAGTTTCTTTTAAGTGTGTTGGGTAGGGCTCCTCCCCGCGGTGCGATTGGTGAGCGAACTGAGCGAGGGGCGGGGATCCCGCCCCGTTTGCTCACTTTGCTCATTTCGCTCCCGCCTTCCCACGGATGTTAACGGACGAGATATCGTTTTGAAGCTTTTATCTTCAATTAGATAACTTTTTTAATATCATCAGACCCGAAATATGTGTTAGTGCAATTTGAGTTAGGGTATTGGGCGGAGCCTTTCCCGCTGCGCAATTTTGGAGCGAATTGAACGAGGGGCGTGGCCCTGTACCATTTGCTCATATTGCTCTTGACATTCCATTTATTGTAGCGGAGGCAAATTATCAGGCCGAAAATTCGGATTGTTGAACTAGGAATTTCAATTTGAAATTTGGTTTGAAAGTGGACAATAAGGGTAGATTGGGAAATGCGTGGATTTTATCCGGGTCACGAATTTTAATGCCTCGACACTCCACCACAGATGTAAATATTCTGCATTCGGTACATATTCTCGAGACACATGTTATGGATTATTAATTTCTCAAGTACACCAGGAAATGCACACGTTGACAGTGTCTGAAGTGTGCCACGTTGGCTGAATATTTGCGAATGCAATGTGCTAAAGCCAGAATCTGCCAACCTCATCATCCACCGTGCATTATGAATTCCAGTAATTTTCCACGGTTGCTTCGTTTTTTTTTTATTTTCAAAATTTCAAGTAGCCGTGTCCTCACGGTACATTCAAAGAGGAGAACCAAAAAGTAGTAAAAAAAATTCGGGAAAACTAGATTACATCGGAAATCATGATTTTTTCCCAGTATAATTATAGTTTTGATTTCGAAAAAAATATTTTAAAACCAGATTATACCAGAATGCCTCGTGTGAGAATCAGTGTAATCGTAATTAATGATTAACGTCTTCAAAAAATTGCCAAGCCTCGAAAAAATGACTCAACAATTTGCAAACAACTGCTATAATTTCTTCGCCCCATAAAGATTTGGAGACCTATGAAGATTTATAAAAATCTTCAATTCACTTCAATTTACATACTAAAATATATCTTGAGATTCGAAAGACCTTTTACTCTCTATTTAAAACGTATAATGTTCGTTTCCGGAAATATAAATCATCTTAACGCTCATTCAAAGTATATCGATTGTCTTAATGGATACTATATTCAGAGTTCAATCCGATTATATCTACTGTACCGATTGTTAATGGCGTGAAAAATGGATGTTTCTATATAAATTACGTATGCGCTAAATGCATTATATACATTATATACAATAATAATAATAATAACAATAATAATACTATAGACTCTTGCTATCATTATTATACATATATATTATTATATATTTAGGAGTCATATATGATAGGATAATAGTATAATATATAATATATTTAGACTAGTTTTTGGTAGTATATATATTTATTTTAATAAGGAATGACGTTGGCATGGGAGATCTGTATGGATGAATGATTTATTGATATTGAAATAATCTGAGGCGATGGAATGAAGCCCTCATTCAACGATACCATGACAAGTCGATAAAAGCCAAATGCCAAGTGTCCAAGAAGCACCTCATAGTTATACCCAGAAGAGGCAGTTGATGTCTACGGGTCGACACTGGTATTATGAAACTTTGTACCCAGATATACAGTTACGTACTTGCCATATACAACAGCGTTAAGGCAAAACGGAATAACGGATATATTCAACGTCAAAGCAGTAATAACTTGGAAGTACTTGAAGCTAGTGTGGTGCGACGCACATAGACCGAGTTATTGCGTCTGGTAGCCCGCTGTTACATGCACGTATAAATACATTATGCTGAGGAGGTGGAGTGGGAGATGAGAACGTGAGGAAAAAATGAAATTTCTTTTTAATATAACACGATATTTCTCTCCTTTATCGTCTCTCTCGTGGACTTCTCTCAATATTTTAAATTACATTCTATTTAACTATTTTTATTTACAACCCCGATTAACTCCCGAGTTGTTTCAAAACTTTTTCTCACACTGAGACTCATTCTTTTATCTTCGAAAATATTTGCAGTGAAATCAATACTTGACTCGACGAATTTTCACTCTCATATAATGAAATTTGCTATTAAATTTGACAAAAAATTCCGTCATTTTTTATCCAAGAAATTTGTAACTTTATGATAAAAAATTGAAATACTCTTAGAAAATTTTTTCTGAAGAAAACCACGGAGTATTTCTTGAATATAGATAATTCAGATTTCCACTGAGTCACTCGATGACTTCACTAATGCCAATTACTTTAATTTATTCTTAACATTATATTTGTTCAGAATTTTAGCACCTACTGAATTTTCAGTCACTGATTAGAGGAGTGACTCGTCCCGTGAGTCATGTCGCTAAATGAAACTATAAAGATTGTCTAGATGATAATTTTCAGTGGCTCTTTCTTTTGTTCATTGTTCTAGCGAATGCCTTCTGGTGCAATAAAAATTATCGTAAACAGCCTTCCCAGAATATTCTACATTTCATTTTTCCCATGACTTTTTACGATTGGTACGAATTGGAAGATAATTGGAAAATGAGGAACAGGTGACCAATCATTTCCAAAACATACCTTGAAATCCTATTAATGTATCCAATTTTTTCAAACAAAATATTTGAAATATATAATATGTACATATATTTATTCAATCAAATATATTACTGAAATATATTCAATCGTTTCTCTCATTTTGCAAATATAAGATTACGATCATATCTAATTACTATTAATATATTATTACTATTATTATTATTATTATTATTATTATTATTATATTATATTATATTATATTATAGTTTTTTCATCGCACGAGGAAAGTCGGAAAATCCAAAGGCGAGTTCTTGAATTGGTGCAAATGAAAATCAATATTTCCCTATATTTCTTAAGAATAATTACAACCCGTATGATTGTTGCGATGATGTTAAATGCCGTCCGTTGAAATGTCACAATTGTCATTCCACGTGATTTATCGTTTCTTTTTTTTTCTCCGCGTAATTTTTTAAAAACGTCAAATCCCAAACAGCACGCCAAGATAATCCGTTGGATGACAATTTCGAGGTACAACAATTGAAGGCAATTTCGGTGAAGAGATAAACGACAAGGGCCCGTTGATTGAAGTCAATCATTTCCACTTGATGTATCGCTGAGTATTTTCGCAACGCGAGGTGCACGTACGACGCAGAATGCCAGGAAAATTTCCTATTAAATAATCTGTCATTATCCTTACGCTGAGGACAATGGACACTCGCACGAGTGGCATGCGTGAATTATTCATCCCGATGAGTGAATATTTTTATTCCACCGTTGACAGGAAGCGGTAATTAGTTTCACAAAAGACTTGGCTGCGAGTGACGCCTGTGATAAAGAGAAATACAATGGAAATGTCGTATTTTCTAGAGGAGACATCTGTCGTTCGTGTTGCATTTTGATGAGATTGGATTAGACATTTAATGCAGTACCTATTTTATGATCGAATCGTTTCACTTCGGATTCTCGTCATTCCTCTCATTTCTTTCCCATTTTTCTCTCACTCTGAAATAGTCAATGACTCAATAACAAAACTCAATAAATCGACTACATTTTTCACATGAATTATCGAGTTATCTCGAAATCTATCGATTTCAGATAAAAACATCAGAGAACTTTTTCATAGCTTATTGAATTTACGATAGCAATGTTCTTATCGCATTTTCTCCTAAAATCAATCATTGGTCGTATAATAAATAGTTAATAAAGCAATAAAGCGAAAACGACCGCTTTAAGGTTTTTTTCATTATTGATTTATCTCGATAATTATAAATTTGAGGTGAAAAAGTTGGGAGACATTTTTATAGCTGCTTCAATTTCTGAATGAAAATGTCTTCTGGTATTTTCTCCTAAAATCAATCGTTTATCGGATTAATCGGTCTTTACCCCGAGAGAAGAATATTCCGGAATTAAACTATATGGATTGAATTCCACATGAAGGATAACGATAACTTTTTTTTCATTCTTACATTTTCTCATTGTAATTATGATTATAATTATTTTCAATCAGTTTAATGGAATTTCCATGGAAAGCGCTGAGAATTCATACAGAGAAGAATTAATTTATAGCCACAGGCCGCTGACTTGTTTTAACCGCAAAAATTCCAAGAAAGCATTCATTTCCCCGAGGAATTATTTTGAAATTAATCCAAAGCGTGAGACTGCTGCCTTTTCGATTTGAACTGGCAAAAAAATAGTGTCAACATGCATTCCCGAATCTTTCTCAATTTCCTCCTGAGAGACCCTCGAGAATAAAATATTTATTTAACCCAGCAGTAGCCGGAGACAATCTACACTCTAATCCTCTTACTGGTTTTCCACTCAACGACATCGTATTGATTTCGATTTTTCTTTCAACGTTTTTTATTCCACTACTGAAACTGTTTTACGATCTGAATACGTTGAGGTGTCAGTGTCTTGATACCGTTAAAACTCAAATGAGATGGAGAAAGATGGTATTGAGGGAGAGAGACGATGAAAAGGGTTGGTTTATGGCTTCTCCAGCAGCGGTAATTGAATTGTCTTCCGGTCGAGCAAGCGTTTCCGCATAATTCTTGCACCCACAACGGCGACAAGGAGCTTCGAGGGTAATTCTTAAAGTACGATTCAACCCCATCCCTTAAACCCTTCAAAACCTGTAAGCCTACGCTGAAAATCGCGCCTCTACTGCTTCCCTACTTTGATAGACAAATTCGATTGATGCTATCCCTTAACTATTACCCAATACAGCTCTCCAATAGGAGTAATTACTTCATTAATCATTCATTAAGTATCCCCGGTGGAAAGATGCGTTACATATAATCCTGATCTGGGCCTGATCTCAGATTGAATCCATAACTGATCAGAAGCAGTTCAATGAGTTCAATTTTTCCGCGAATAGACGCGGAATTATGAAGATTTGTGAGTTATAATTAATAGTTTTTAATTTCATTATAAAATCTTAAAACAATATATATCTTGACGTTAATCTAAAAAATTTACAAAAACACATGAAAAATGAGAAGATATCGGCAACAACTCATTAATAGTTACCGAATAAATCGTCGGCATGCAATATTTTGAAGCGATAATTTTTTTAGTTGTGCATTTGTTGTTGTGATTTTTTGAGGTAATATTTTGAGTTATGTTATTGTGATGGGTGATGGGAAATGATTGATATATATATAGGTAACCGATAATTAATATAACACGTAATATTCTCGTGTAATTTTTAAAGCACAAATTCCCTTACACCCCCGACCCTCATCTCTAAGCCTACGTAACACTTCTCTCTGTACACTCTGGCTTTCCCCTTGCGCACTCTATTTCCGGTTTTTCTGCGAATCTTGACATAATTGCGTTCCCCCAACCCCTTCAAGACTCACTCGACGACGACGAGGGAAAATATTTTTGTCTCGACAACCTCACCTGCTTCTTCTCGGTTCCTTATTTAAGAGGAGATGTTACTTTGCTTTTTCTCTTCTTTTCCTCTTTTTTTTTAACGTTTGCTCTTTAAATATTATACCGAGCTGGATGTCGTTTAATTTCACGAGGTTTATGGCAAAGTGGAGGGACGATTCATGCGCAACGTCAACCCGATGGGAAAATCCGCGTCAGCGGTTTTTGCTCTGTTGTCTTTCGTCAGGTTCAGGTTTCCAACGAGTGCTCCGGATTGACGGCTTGTTGAAAAATATTTGAAATTTCCGCAAACTTTTGACCAAAATATATTTAATATCAATAAGGATACCCACAAAAAAATCTACTGGAGAAAAATTCTGTTTATTTCCCAAAACGTAAATTTCAACGCGTGAGAATTTTTTTTCTGGTGAATTCCGAGAGATAAAATAGAGAATTATATTAGGAGAATAATTTGAAATTATCTTTCCTTTCTGAAAATTTATCGCTTCTGGTGAAAATTGTATTCCGCTGTACTGAAATTTATGGAAAAAATGGAAATAGTGAACTTTAATGTATTTTTAGTTGATGTTAAAAATGAGAATTTCAGTTCTCGATAATGGAAAGTGTCACGCAATTTTTCTTACGCCTTTTCTCCGTATGTGAAATGGATTCTCCAATAATCGATTCTATCGAAGACCTTATCCATGACCTGCCCCAATTTTCATCGATCCCCTTCGCTTCATTTCCCACCTGTCCTTCCGGAATCATACTGAATCGGATTAAATTCCCGATCTCCTTATTCCGCATCATTAAAAAATCGTTTTAAACCTTTCAGAGGACCTTCATGAGACTTCCCACGTTGAACTGTTCCCGTCAAGTTCACACCCACGGTGAACCGCTCTATCACACCGCGAATTCAAGTTTCCCTTCACTTCTTCTGTTGAATCGCAAAAAAAAAATCCTCACACACCAGGAAAAAAATTCAATAAAAATCAGCAGAAAATTAGTGTGAATACTTATTTGAGTGATTATTCTTCATTATATAATTATTTGATTTTTTCAATTTAATTATAATAATTGAATTATTATCTAATTTTTTACGGGAATATAAAATAAATCGGAAAAAATGACATGTCATGAGAAGAATTGAATAAAAATTATATACCAGGAAAAAAATGCGAAATAAAAGTTTTTATTTGCTTTGAAGCACCTGTTTTTCTAAATTGAATCCACAGAGGAAATGAAAGTCAATAAAAATCGTGAGTAGGAACTAAAATAGTACGAATCGTCATGTAAGTTTTATGATCTGTTCGGTAAAAATTAATTACCCGTCTGATAACCACAACTGTGGGAACAACAAGTCGTCGCGTCATTTTTCCCCAACGATTGAGAAATTACACCGGATTTATGAGTTCAATCCAAATTTAATTTTTATTCCTATTCCAATTAACGGAAAACGATTCCCCGCTGCGGATTATATGAAAAAGTCGTATAAATGCATTTTCTTTGAGACCACTCTCTAACGAATAACATGGGATTGAAAGGAGATAGCACTATTTTTATAATCACCTTTTTTGTAGCTCTTACTGTCCTCTATAAACAATGTGAAAACAAAAATATCGGTATCTTCTTTCGATACTGAGATATTTATTGAAAACGGGATTGAAAAAAAAAATTCTCATTGCTTGGAATTCCCCATTTATTTAGAAAATATCGCGGAATTGAAGGAAGATAGTGATAATTTCATGATAACCTTTTTGATAGCTCTCACCTTTCTCTACAAAAAATGTCAAAGTAAAATTATCAGTATCCTCCTTCGATACTGAGATATTTATTGAAAACTGGAATTGAAAAAAACGCAATTATCATCGTCTAGTATTCCGCTTTTCGGTCAATATCTTGAAATTGAAGGAAAATAGTGATAATTTTATAATAACATTTTTTATAACTCTGACTTTACCCTATAAAAAAGGTTCTTATACAAATATTGCTATCTTCTTTCAGTTCCGAGATACTCGTCAAAAATTGGGATTGAAAAAAATGCAATTATCCTGGCATTTCCCTGCAGAATTGTTCTGTTATTTTTCCTTGATGTTTTAAAACGCATAGAGTAATGGCAGGGAATGCAATTCCCCTGGAAAAATGAGAACATCCAAGAGGAGGAAGTGAAGTAAAACCGGTTTTCTCGATGAATTATGCGCGTCTCGAGTGGCAAGTAAAACCTTAACCTTCAGTGATTGAATGACGAATAAACGAGAGAAAAATCCACATCCTCTTTAAAAAATCATTTCCCCCTTCCCTTCACGCGAGTTAAAAATATTGGAATGAATTTTAAATCAGTCTCTGACACTCGTTAGTACTTGATTAAAAAATTCAATCCATTATTAACTGATTTACACGCCGAAGCGACAGATGAGAGGGCAATTTATACGAAACACAAAGTGGAAAACAATTAGTCTGTCGCTTGTTAGCCGCATAATTGAATCTTCAACATTTGTACATGCATTTGCTATCCTCTTCCACTCATTTCCTTCACCCCAAATATCTTTTTTTTTTTCATTATTTCATAAAAACGTGTGGTGTATATACGTATATTGTCATCGGTGCACCGCGCGATTGGATTCGGTTTTAATTGTTTCCGGCGAACGCCCCGGTGCTGTTGAAATATTTTTCAAATCTATATGTATTGGGTACGAAACCCATGCGGAGACCCAGAATTAAAGAAATGTCTATTCATTTGAGGTGGAAAAAAATTGAATTGATGGAAAAAATTGAAGGGGGTCTCCCGCATTCATCATAAAAAAATATTTCTTCTCAGCCATCAAAAAATGAAATTCTACATTGTCATCTGTATTTATATATTTTTTAGGCAAATAGATTCATTTCAATTATTTTGGTTATCTCCACTATTTCTCCACATTTTTTATTTTGCCTTCCTACAGAAAATTGAAGCCACTCGAATTTTTTTGTTGTGAATACACAAAATTGGTTCGTTATTTTTCTATGAAATACCCAATTCAAATCCAATGATAATTCCACGTTCTTCTCTGTATATCACATCTCCATACACATAATAATAATAAAAAAATAAATAAAAAAAATTCCCCAAAATAAATGTAGAATATCTTTTGTTCGAAAAACTAATCCCCTGACCTCAAATCTCTATTTCCAAAAGATGTAAACTCGAAATCTCAAATAATTCTTTGAAATTCCCCTAAAAAACTGAAAGAATAAAATAATAATTGAACAAGTACTCACGAGGTAATGCATGCGCAAGCGCAAGTAGTAAAGCAACCACGAGGAATCTGAATGATCCCTTCATTTTAGCAAAGAAAATTATCACTGAAATACACAAACTCAACTGAAAACTGAGAATATCGATCAAGGTCACGCACTGAACTGTCTCGTTGCTGAATGACTGTAACTCTGAGCTGAGCAAGTCAGAGTTGGTGGGTTATATGCACTGACTCGGGGACCAATCCTATAATCGACGTTTGTGATACGTCACGTGTGTGCTAAGTAACCAATACAACTCTATTTTCCCCACTTGTTACTTCACCCACACGCATTTTTTTTTTGTATATTCATCTGTCTTTGTGCTGACCTGGAACAATCTTGTGTTTTCGTTGGAGATGGAGGTGGCAGCTGCGGTGGGAGTTGAACATAGAGGGGATAGGTTTCACTAGGTCTGCCTGGAGAACCCGGAAGGTTCTCCATTTTTTTTATCATTTTACAATTATCATTTTCTAGAACTGCACGCGCAAATTATGTTCATGATAGCCGATTCCAGGTATTCCATGATGAGTTTTCTTCGATCCTAAGTTTCACAATTTAATTGTGATTATAGGAAATATCATTTCAAATTATATTGTTAAATTAAGATGGGAATGAGTAATTAATAATGACAATTATAATGATATATTGTATATTATGTTATGATATATTTTATGTTATGACTTATCATAGCTGATTTCAGATATTGTATGATGAATTTTCTTCGATTCTGAGTTTTAAAATATAATTGTTATAGTAGAAAATGTAATGTTAAATTATATTGAGTCGAGAAGTGAGTGAATTAATAATGAAATTACAGTGGTATTAATGATTTTCAATGGGTATATCGCTTTGTATTGCATATGATGATATATTTCTATAATCAGTCAGAGTATATTTGACTAATAGAAAGGATTTTAGGGTAAATGTCTAGAAAAGGGCCACCGATTTTAGAATTATATATGTATAATTCCCTGGATTGCGTCACAGAAATTTTTGCACGATAAGATTCGATTCTAGATATCCCAATATAGTAAGTTCACTATTAATATTAATATAATATTATATCATTATATTGTCAACGTCAACAAGGAATATATTTTTCACGATGTATTTCAGATTTTTTGTATCAATTTAATTGATTACTCGAAGAGTAATATCCAATATATTTCATATTCTTACATCATATATTGTTATATTTAACCAGAATATATTTAATATCATCATCTTCAAGTAAAGTGGTATTTTCCGTCCTAATATATACTCCCCCGAAAATGAATTTTATCTGGAAAACACGAGGGGCGAGAAAAGTCGTAAGAAAGTCTCAATATTTTCTTCCCAGAAATACTCACTGTATCGATTCTGAAACATCAGAGAGATTGATTCGTTACGTGTTTCACCACTTTGATACTGAATTATTCATCGTCCGTATTTGTATCACCAGGATGGTAATGAAATACCTCTTGTTATTGATTGGGTTCATCAACAGAGCGATGAGAATATAATAGAGGTGACCATTATTGACATTGGGATTCTCATTTTAAGGACATGTTGCTGTTTTGAAAATTCCTACTGTTTTGATTCACTTTGGAAAATGACTGTTTGTTTAAAAAAAGGCAGATGTCGAATTTTCGACATCGCACATGTCACACAAAATTCTATTTACCTAACTTTGCATGCATTTTTCTCAAAAGGTCCAATCGCTTTCTTCTATCCGCAAATGAGCAGTGGAATATCGCTGATTAACTAAAAATATATCAAATCAGTTCAATGATTGATGATCCGGGAATTTTCGGAAGTTTTGAATATTCAATGGTTGAATAATTCTTCAGCAGTGACAAGTCCGTAATATATTTATGTGATGAGTAGAAGATAGGATAAGAAAATGAAACTATAATGAGTCGATATCCGAGGTCTCGCGGAATTGTCCTGAATATTCAAAAATCCATGATTAACTTATTTACCACAGCTCGAGTATCTACTAAAATGCATTCGAAACCTGATTTCTCTCAATCTTCTATAAAATTCAAGGAAATTTCGCAAAGCTCTCGATGCTCAGCTAGAACCCATCAAGTAATCATTTTCTGTTTCCCTTATCCAAATCCCAACAAAAGTACCCCACGAAGAGCTAAATTATGAAGTTGCCATGTAACATTACCATAGGAATAATATTTTTAATCCAATTATTAGTTAGGGTAAAACCCAATTTTGAAAAACCCAAATTATTAATCACTGCGTAACGTGATGATGAAGCGAATAAGAAAAAAAAAATTTGATTTTGGAGAAATAATGGGTTCACCCTAAAAAATAATTGGATGACAAATTTTACTTCTATGATAATGTTACACTTAACTAGTCTCCCGTAAACGCGAAAAATATCGACCATTCACTCTGTATCTAGTAAATAAATATAAATAAAAAAAAGGTGATTGTGGACACGAGTGAGTAGTACCCATGATAACAAAATATCTAAAAATTTCCCTGCATCGGAAAGAAAAGTGCCAGAAAAAATCCGTAATATTCAGTTTTAGAATGATAAACTAGTGGATAAATTGAGTTTTCGCATTTCAAACGCAACGCAATCAAATCAAATGTTTAATCATTAACGGAAAGTGTGTCAATGCCACAATTTTCCTCTGCATTTTTCAGAAATGAGCCAAGTCGCTAGAATAATTAAGGAAACGATAATAATAATAATAATAATAATTATTATTATTATTATAAAATAATAATAATAATAATAATTATTATTATTATTATAACGTGAGTTAAACTTCAACGTAGTCCATAAAAAATATTCCTGAAATGAAATGTCCTCCCCCATTAAGAGCCCTCAACCACTGGAATTTTCTCAATCTCATGTTAATGACCTTGGTATGCATGTCATCAAGGTCATTGCGATAATATTCCATCTTAACAAAGGTTCTTGAAGCACGATCAAGTATTTGCTATCGCTTCGATCTAGAGCACGGAATATGTTTTGAAGCATGCACCACCACCGATGGAAATTCACCACCTTTGACACCCCTTTAAGACCTTTTTCCTCTCATAATTCTTTCTTTTTTTCCATCGCCATTTTTTTATGCGTCGAGCTGCCGGGGTTCTTTGAGGCATTTGCGTGTTGCAACTGCTTTGTTGCGTGCCAGCAACTTCTTGAGGCACGCGCTTTAACCTCTTCATGTTTATAGGTCTTGTGCTGTTACAGGTTGCAAAAGGGGGAGAAAAAACAATAGAGCTTTTTCTCAAGAAAAATACGAATTTTTCTCCTTTTTATGGGGCAATATCGATTATTTAATTTGCTCGCAAAACGATTTTTGTGCATTTCAAGTAGATATGCAGTGAAATATATCAAATATATCTACATACTTACGATATATTAAATATACGTGTCTGTGGATCGGGTGACAGCTGAAAATGTCATTATGCCTGGAACCCGAAAAAGTAATATATCAAATGTATCAGAAATATATTTAATGTCGATATATGAATATATTTGTTTACGTTCGTAAATTTTGCATTCGGTAGATTTTCAAATACATGAAATATACGAATCTATAGTGATCAGGTGTTAGTTCGTAATATATGATATATCAATATATAACTATAGAAAAAAATGCATTTGATAATATAATAACAATAATAACAATAATATGTACTTCAATATCCCTTTTAATAAAATAATGATTTGTCTAGAATAAGAAAACAAATATTGTATTTATCGATTAAATTTAATTACAGAAAAAAACATAAACTTAATTTTTTGATGATGTCTTAATGATCGAGGGGTGGGCTACTCAGAACTTTTGAGTTATCACTTTGAATATTTAGGTTTTAGATGTCAAATGATAACACCCCATACGTGTGAGCTTAGGCACGCAGTGCGTAACATATTAAAATATCTAAGTATATTATATATAAAATAAATATATAATAGCAATTGTTTTTAAATTAGTGGATAATTTTGATTAACTCATACAAATATATATGATAAGAATTGCTTTAATCTTAATTTTTTTAACGACAATTAAACTAAAAAAAAAACAAATTTATTCGAGATTTGGAATGGTTTTCGTGTTCAGAAATTTTTGAACCTCGGACGAACACTTGTATTTGTTTTCTGCTGAATATATTTTAAATATTGATTTACTCCAAGAATTCATCTATTTTTCTTCTATTCCCTTGAATTCTCAAGACCTCCACAAAATTCGATAGACCTGAATAATATTTACAACTAAAATATTGCTGTACCAACGTCAACCGCGTTATCTTATCACTCAATGCTTTTCACGCAATTCTTAACAATTCCATTGGTTACCATTTTTTATGGCGGTCTAGTGCTTGTTTAATTAAAATGCTTGTATTTAAAATATAAAGAGACGTGTTTACATCGAAATTGTATGATAGACTTTTCTTTAGTTTTCACTTTGAATATTTAGGTTTTGGATGTTTAACGATAACCCCATACGTGTGAGCTTAAGCAGGGTGCGACATATCCGCGAGTAATATTAAAATATTTAAATACATATGCGTATTTAATTTGATATATGAACGGATATATGTGGTCACGATGAAAAATGGTTGTTTGGAATTTTTCCTTTGAAAAAATTGTCAATCGAAAAGTGTCAATGAATTCTATAACTGCATTGGGCATGTAATTTCAATAAATTGGTAGTCACCAATCTCGCCCCCTCACATGACAAAATAAAGTATAAAATTGACCAATGCGATTGGAACACATACTGTTCACCTGACCCGGAGTGCACGACCCGATGTAATCGCCATTCCTCTCCATCGTCGGGTTACAATTCAAATCGACATCTAATAATATATCCTTCCGTCCGCAATACCGCCATTCTGATAAAACACCTATTTTTCTATTTTCTCTCGTGTGAGGTTGAAGGGAAAATGTATGTAGGTATGTGGCTCGTTGAATTATTCACGCGAAACAATTTATGGTGAATATTTATAAAAATCAATTCAACGATGGAGGGGATAGAATTACAGAATTACCTTTATCTTCGCCAGTTTTACATTCGAAATTGCTATGAAGGCAGGGATTGTAATGACCAGGGGGGATTTAATTACTCCATCAATTCCGCTATTGTTTAAATAATTTCTCCTTGTGATATATTGAGTTAATCATATGTACGTGTATTATATGTGATATATATATGAAATGCATGCGGCTGAATGAAATTCTTCCTTTTTTTCATTCTAGTTTTTGAGTGATAACTCGAAACCTGAGAGAGATAGCGCAATTTGTGAAAAACCTTTTTTGCAGCTTTCAATTCATTCTACAAAAAAGGTCTTACCAACGATTTCGCTATCTCGGTTAGATTCCGAGATATCGCTCGAACTCGAGCTGGAGTAAAAAATTAATCTGTCGCCATTATATCAATCTTCATTTTTAGACACAGAAAGAAATATTCAATAAAAATTAAAAATATCATGTCATAATTTTTGACCCAAAATCTAGATAAAAAATATCAGAACCATCCAAAAAAAATTGCGAGAATAACTTCAATTTAATATTTCTCCCCTTACAAAAATATCCCATTGCCATATACAAATAATTGATAAGCCGAGATAAGCAAACAGCCTAGAGTTGTTCAGACTGAAAAAAATTTCCTGTTCCTCTAGAAAATTTCTTTTATTATCTGCCCCTTCATTACAGCCATCGCAACCTCAATTTTAATTCAATAATATTTTTCCCTCCAATCGCGCGAGATTGAAAAAAAAAGGCAAACCTCATGATGTAATAATTTTCCGTGCAATTTTTATCTCCGAATGAAGCAAACTACCAAGAGATGAAAAAAAAAGGAAAAGAGTACGGGGAAATAATGTTAATACCTATGGCGGCTTCAGAAAGACAATTCCGGGATTTTGTGACAAATAACACGGTTGGAGGTGGTGGGGTGGCGGGTGGTGAATCGATTACGAAGCTCGGGCACGAAGTCGCATTAATCAGCGATAACGTCTCCCAACACCCCACCTGGGGGAGGAAAAACGGGGGGGGGGGGGGGAAACAATAGTGTGTATGCATGGAGTACTGGGAAATGACTAGACCGTCTACTGTATTTGTACACAATATATCCCTCTGTGTTTGTAAATCCTCTTGTCCCTTTCTTTGAGTAAATGGTTCTCTTTTGTCGCACGAAATGTCTCCGATGAATGATCGATTGGCAAAACACACCCCACAAAAATAGATGATTTCAATCAAATTGATGCAATTTAGATGAACAGTTTATTCAAAAATTGTATTTTTCAGTTGAGTCATTCAAACATTTAGTGATGATAATTTATTCGTCATACTTATTGATTATGAATAAATAATTAATATTGTGGATAAATGATATATGAGTTTAATACTTTATTATGCAGTTGGACTGTTAGAGACGATTTTCAGATTCTTTGGGGAACAATTACAGATCTTGTACGTGGTGGAGAATAGGAAGTGCTGTTCCACGTTTTTTATTTATCGGTGGGAATTTTCTGGCGATTTTCCACGAATGCGAATGCGGATGAGAAAATTGCGCAATAGATACGGAGAATTTCGAGAATTTGCAATTATTTGAAAGGATTCGTTCATCTTTATGATGAAATAAATATCGTACGCCTTCATATCGAAGGAGATAGCGCTTTCGTGTCAAATTTTACAGTCAAATCATTAGACGCGATTTACATATCCATTTGTTATTCCGGGAATAATAAGAGATATTCTGTACGTGTTCAAGAATTGAACATGACAATTTGTGATTTTTATCCGTCTCTGGGAATTTTTCGATGATATTCTATCATACGGATGGAGAAGCGTTTGATTGATTCAAGGAAACTTTAAAAGAATCTAACGTTCATTTACATATTAGATAAATTATTGTTGGTATGCATTGTAAAAATGCTAATGAAAAAAACGATAATTCCTATTGCGTCTTGATACTCGCTGTTGTTTTAATTTCACTTTATTTGAGACGACGTAAATACGAGATATCAAATAAAATAGTCAGTTAATTGCAATTTGATTAAAAAACTACTTTGTTATTCATAATTGTTTTCTATATTTTCATGAAAAAGAATTGTTCAAAATAACAATAATAACTCGCTGAATTCTGGGAATTTTTGGCTTTTAAAATGCAGAGAAAGAAATTTTTGAATTTACTCTTCAACCATTTCTTTTTTATAAATAAATAACAACAATGCTTTTCAAATTAGTGGATAATTTGGATGAACCCATAAAAATATATAAGATACAAACTCTTTTTTAATATTAAATTTTTTAACGACAATCAAGTTAAAAAAAAAATCAGATTTCTTCGAAATATGGAATGCTTTTCTTCTTCAGAAATCTTGGAATTTCGAACACTTGTATTTGTTTCCTGATAAATGTAAGTGTATTTCAAATATTGATTCACTCCGGCGGATCTATTTTCCTTCTATTCCCTTGAAATTTCACGACATCCAGAAAATTCGATAGACCTGAATAATATTTACGACTAAAATATCGCTGTACCTACGTCAACGCGTTATCTTACCACTCAATGCTTTTTGCACAATTCTTAACAATTCCATTTGTTACAATTTTTCTGGCGGTCAAGTGGTTGTCGAATTAAAATGCTTGTATTTAGAATGTAAAGAGACGTGTTTACATCGAAATCGAAGGGTGGCGGAAAAAATATCCTCGGAAAAAATATCCCCGGAAAAAATATCCCCCCAATCATACATTTCATTTCTGTCGCCCTTTTTTTTTGTGTACATATTTTCTAAAAGGGCGGGGGGGGGGGGATATTTTTTCCGGGGAAATTTTTTCCGCCACCCTCCGATTTCGATGTAAACACGTCTCTTTACATTCTAAATACAAGCATTTTAATTCGACAACCACTTGACCGCCAGAAAAATTGTAACAAATGGAATTGTTAAGAATTGTGCAAAAAGCATTGAGTGGTAAGATAACGCGGCCCCTGGCGGGTCGGGGGGCGCAGCCCCCTCCCACTCCCCACATAACACATTAAATGAAAATTTGAGAAAAAAAAAATGATTTAATTTCATGCGAATATTAGAATTTTTCTTAGGGATAATTTTTTCCGGGATATTTTTTCCAGGGATATTTTTTCCGGGGATATTTTTTCCGGGATTTTTTTTCCGGGGATGTTTTTTCAGGGATTCGAAATCGGATGATAGACTCACTTTTCGTCGGAGAGCGTGCGTTTAAATAACTTTCATTATCTTATAATAATAATTCAAATAACTTTTATTCGAGTCTGAACGTATGGAATATTACAGATTAGAGGCTACGAATGAAAATCGAAAATATGAGTCAGTTATGACTGGTACCACATTTTTAATTATGTAAACTTTAGATCGCTCATGTGGAAAAGAGTCGAGTGAATATTCCAGAAAAATTCGAATGAATAATTATCACTCATTTCCGTATTTCCCCTAAAATACTAAACCAATATTTCGACATCCGGTTGCTTGCCACATGAAATGGAATCTGACCGACAACTTATTTTCAACGGTAACAACCAAAAGGGTTCGAATTAATCTTGATAAAAGACTCTCCCTACTTTCCCCGGTATATTTGACTAAATATATGACCGACAAAATTCTTCTGAATTATCAAATTAAAGATCTCCCAATTCATCATTCCGCGCTACTCCCGGCAAATGAATTGCATAACAAAAGCAATTAGTTTCGCCCTTCTAAAAATTAATTATTCACTCGATAGTTAAAGAAGATGAAGTGCCGCGTCAACAATTTAAATTGCTGTACAGAGAGCTGGTAAAATATTCAAAACAAACAAAAACCGCAAACTGTCGCTAAAAGTTCTACAATGAATCACCAAATTTTTTTTTCAGTAAATATTTCCTCGAATGAATCACCTGAATCAGAATAACAAGACTAATTTATCGGCGTGACGATATCACCAGCTGTCTTCGAAACACTCTTTTATGTTATTCCCGGAATATGTGCTCACATAACCGACTGTTGACTTTACACAATTGTTACTGCTTAGATAAACTGCACGTGACAAAATATTCATTACTCATGAGCTGCTTGAATCGTCGAAAGCAATTTACACTGTAATTATAAATTATCTATAATTCTAGTGATTATTTAACAATTATTTTTAAGACCAGGATTTTTCTTCCATTCTCTTGTGATTCATTCGTATACAAAGACAATTTTCTACTATCTTCTAATTTTCCAATTACTGTTATTACTGTTTATTCCTTGCTTAAAACAGATTGCCAATAATGTTCTCTTTGTCAATATGACTTGAGTAATTTTTATTTGCCCATAAAAAAATCATGAAAAATAATAGAAATGGAAAATACAAATAGATGATTAATTTTTTTTCTAATTCAATTGCAATCGTGATAATTTATTATTCTTCAAAATTTATTATTGTGATTTAGATAATATGTAATAAAAACAAATCATTAGATTTTCATCATTAGTGATAAATTAATGACTGTAATGGTTGATTTCGCAGTTGGATGATTTTTTTTCAATTTAAATTCGATGATCTGATTCTCTTATTATGATTGATCTTCATAATCTAAAATATACACGATTCGTAAAAAAAAATCGTTTGGAATTACGACAAAAGTCAAGAGCATCACATGCACCGTGAATTTAGCCGTCACCCAGTGACCCTCTGGTACTCGGTTGCACCAGGCACCGTTTATAGATTGCGAAGACGGTTGCTATAGCGCAGCAGGACTTCTTTGTGTTTAGACGATACTAGACCTTCAGAATTTCCGGAATCCACCGACAGTGCGGCGTTGCCCTTTGCCCAGGGCACCTGGACCATTTACGTGGACCATTTACTATCATTAACTGTGAGTGTATTCCTAAATTGTGTGAATTTATGTGTGTCATTGTCATCATCACCAATGACATCCGATGAAGAATCGTTCCCAACCGCATCAATAATGAGTTCATCAGGAGATCCTTCCATCAGTTTTGACCACCGATCATTGCCATAAGTCATCAGATCAGCAAGCAGGGCTGTCTCAACAGCAGAATTCCATAGATCAATGATCAATTCAGTTCAGCATATGAATCTGTTGCAAGCAATCACAACGAATCGATCAGAAATGTGTGAATCCTGATCGCAACAACAGTCCGACCCAAATCGACGGATTGAGAGATGCTGGAAATCTTTCCAATACCATCAGCACCTCCAACTTCCTGAATGGGTGCCTGCAGCTGTCGTCCACGTGACAGTCAGGTGAACGCTGGTTCGATCCTCGACCGCGTCATCAGCCAGGCCAGCGACGAGGATCAATGCTTGCTTTATCGTCTAGCGAACTATAAGAAAGGAGGTGAATTAATCGACGCTTACAACCGAGGTGGACAGTCAGCAGTGGAGAGACTGATCAAAGAACAGTTCGGCATCCTGATGTACGCCGATGGCAAGGGACAGGTGATTACCACATCATATCCACAAGTCTCATCCCAAAAGCCTTCATTGTCATTTGACGAATGAAAGTTAGATTTCTTAGTTAATCTAGATCGTGTACCTTGACGAAGACTATACATAGCATTCTGAACGTTGGCCAAGTAAATATGAGAGGAAGTTTTCAAAAAAAATTTGATAATTCAGCATTATGATGAGCTTAGCATGGTCTGGTAGAGAAATTCTTGGAAAGTGTTTACCAAAAAACGGTTAGAAAATTGATAAAAATACGGATTAATCATTGTCCGTAGGTGATCAACCGAGCAGAGTACCTGCGCTGGAAATTCCGGGATATCGAGCAAGTAGTTCTTCCCATCGAGGCATCCCTGAGCCGTTTTGACCCACTGGCCCAATGGAACGATCACGAAGCCTGCTGGCAGATGCAGTACAGAGGATCCCTCGGCGAGACCCTCCTGCACGTCCTCATAATATGCGATACAAGGAGTCACACGAGAATAGCGCGAATTCTTCTGAAGTCCTTTCCAAGGTTGGCAATTGATGTTGTCGAGGGTGAGGAGTATCTCGGTGCTGGTGCTCTTCATCTGGCCATTGCATACAACAATAACGAACTAGTACAGGATCTCGTCGAAGCCGGTGCTATTGTATCGCAGAGAGCTATCGGTAGCTTCTTCCTTCCCAAAGATCAGCAGGGCAACACACCAGTCAGAAGCACCGATTACGAAGGACTCGCTTATCTCGGCGAGTATCCACTTGCCTGGGCAGCTTGCTGTGCTAATGAGAGTGTTTACAATCTTCTTCTTGACTCCGGTGCTGATCCGGACGATCAGGATTCATTTGGGAACATGATCCTTCATATGGTCGTTGTTGGGGACAAACTGGTGAGTTCTTTTGGAGTCAATTGGGTCGATTGAATGAATTATATCATTAAATCATTCATCTTTTGAGTCGTTTTGTCAACGTAAATCGATATTTTTCATTAATACAAATGATAGATCAAATGAATCTAATGGAAAATCGAACCTGACCATCCGTTAGAATAACGCGAAGTCTTGACGTGAATGGAGGGTCAAGCTGGGGATTTTTAGAAGATCAATGGAGTTAATTGATGTGTTTGAAATGGGAATTTTTGCCAGGTTTCCAGTATCGTCAAGCCCTCCATTCACGTCACTTCCGTCGTTTTTTCGATATACCAGCAAATGTGAAAATCCATAGGTGCACATGTGCTTTTAATCGAGAGTGTCGATGAAAATGGAGTTGATATTTTTTTCTTTATTGATACTGAAAAATCGAAAATGGATGACGTTGATGGTGACAGGACATGTTCGGATATGCCCTGCGTCATCCAAAATTTCCAGCACGAAATGGAATCGCCAACAATGCTGGATTTACGCCGCTAACACTCGCCTGTCAGCTAGGACGTGCCGAGGTATTCCGTGAAATGCTAGAGCTATCTGCACGCGAGTTTTGGAGATACAGCAACATCACGTGCTCTGCGTATCCGCTCAATGCACTGGATACACTTCTCCCTGATGGCAGAACGAGTAATTTCACTTTCCGAATATTTCACTCTATCTTTTTCTTTATTCTCATTTTTTTTATTTCACTTGTCGATCCCCTTTGGATCGTTTTGGCACGTTCATTCATGCTTTGCACGTACATTTATCAAAGTCAGAGCAATGGTGAATGTTTCCGCCTCTGACAATGAAGATAATCTGAGGACTTTGAGGACTAATTAGGGCTCAGTGCGTCTGCTAATAATGCACAGTCCTGGGAATTTCTTCGTGGATTTATCCCCCATCTCCCTCAACTATCTGATTGGGAAAATCCGATTACTGTTTCATAAAGTCCAGAGTTTGGGGATTAAGAATTTAATTAAATTCGACAAATTGGATCGATTAAATTCATCCGGCTCTCTCCATTTTTACGTCATTTGACTGAATGGATACGTTTTGTCAGTGGTATCAGGTTGTCGTCAATTGCAGCTGATGGATTTTCCGGTTTTTTTTTCAGATTGGAATTCAGCGCTATTCATTATCCTGAATGGCACCAAGGAGGAGCACTTGGACATGCTGGACGGTGGTATTATTCAGCGTCTTCTGGAGGAAAAATGGAAGACCTTTGCTAGAGTAAGTCGATCAATATGAAGAGCTCAGGCATAATACCACGAAATTACACTGAGTTAACTCAGTGGTTCGATGACTCTGACAAAAGTTGCAGTTTCTCAAGCGTCTTATCATTCTCGTATTTCATCTGACAACTCTGTCACTCGCTGTATATCAACGTCCAGCTGAGATGGATGCTGAATTGATGGCGTGGCCAGAGGAGTTGACGGATGTTGGCAGGACAATTGCCGAGTGTGTCACTGTACTCGGTGTTGTTGGATATATTCTTCTGCAGTTGGGGGGTGAAATTGTCAACATCGGGCCGATATCGTTTCTCAAACAATTGGTGAGGCTAGATTTTAACACGGATTTATTCTCCCTGACGGAAAAATATACATATTCTTTCTATAAGATATCTAGTAATTCTTTATTAGCATTTTTTCATTGCAAAATAGTTTGGAATTAAAGCCATCGTATGGATTGCTTTCTGTTCTATACTCTTTTCTCTGTTTTTTTTCCTTTCAGTATGGGCAGCGAAGGAAGAGGGAGGAAAGCATATTTTTTATATTTTTTTCGTTTGTGGAATTATCTCACATGAGGAGATCTATTTTTAATATTTGGAACACATGAGAATTAAATTCAGTTCATTTTCGTTACTGAAAAGTCTCTAATATGAATTTCCAGTAAGAAAATAAAAATAAAGTTTAGACTTTAAATGATGAATAATTTATAATGATAAATGAACAAATCGTTAGGATTTGAATAAATTATGATATAATTCCCGGTTTGTCATTTGATTTTCATTTTAAATCTTGAAGCCAGTTTTTTTTTTGTTGCCGCCTGAGAAAATCCAACTTTTCTGTGGGGCTTGTAGTTTTGAGTTGAGATTTTTTCAAGTCAGAAATTGAAAGGTCAGTCTCAATTGAGGATTTTGAAGTCATCTCAAGATTTTTCAATATTTGGAATTAACCAGTTTTTCAAGTCCTACCCTACGAATTTTGAAAGTTTCATGCTGGAACTTTTATAAATTAACTTGAGACTCTAAAGCTCAACTCGACAAAAATAAAGAGGTCAAGCTGAACTCACAGTCTCACAGTCCCACGGCACAGCTTTGAGAACTCAAATCAACATTTCGAGAAGTCTGCAGTGAATACCTTCCGACCGGTCAAACAAACACTTTCAAAAGTCCGAATATTCCCCATCCAAAGCTCAAAGGGTACTTTCCAAAAATATCGCGTTAAAATCGTGGACGAATGTATTTTATGTATTTTTCGGTGGAATGGGGATCTAGTGGAATTCACTTCTTCGACGGAAGCTATAAAAATTGTACGATCAATCGCTTCAACCAAGCGAATCCTTCTCGACCGATCAATTTGCCAGGGAATCAAGTGGTTTTGCAATAAAAACAGAGTGCAGGGGAAAAGAAGACTAAATAACTGATCGGGGATTAACGACGGAGGTAGAGGTCATGTCGATGCACTAGTGTTACTTCACTCGTAATTCAAATTGTACAATTGACTACTAGGAAGAAAACACTCATCTCCACACGCAAAGTTGGCAAACATGAAGTCTTGAGTAATGCCCTTTCATCGGTGTCCTCAGTTTTATTATATTTACCGGTGTTGTTACTCTGTTCCAGACACACGAACCAGCCAAGTTTATATTTGTAATCAGCAATCTACTTATCCTGGCTTGTATACCGTGTCGTTTAGCTGGTAATCGACACGCTGAGGATGCCATTCTCGTGGTGGCTGTACCTGGCTCATGGTTTCTACTTATGTTCTTCGCTGGGTGAGAATTTTCAACGAATTCTCAATATTTTGCAAAGCAATGTTTGAAATTTCCTCCTTTCCTGCATTTTCAGTCATCAAGGCAATTGAACTTTCAATTGCATGAGCTTAAAATCAAGTGCAATCAAAAACAGTCAATACATTTAGATTTTTTTTTTGCTTTCTGTACTATTTCTTCACAGTTTATCTATCTTATCTTCACTATTATTGTTGACAATCCTAAACAATAAACTTTATATCTTATCTTACCTTATTTATCAATCGGTTTTAAAGCACCAAAATTCTATTGAAAGTAGAATACTAAGTGGAAGCACTGAGCTTAAGCACTTTACTTATCGAACCTCTATGAGGAAGATAACTGAACTAGTAATTATAAATAAATTTATAAATTTGGAGTCACGTGGATTTTAACTCAGATATACTCAGATTTTAATCTGATATTTTTTATTTATCGGTCAACATGCTCGGCCAATAAAACTACCCAGACCGATGCCAAAATGAAAGAATATTCCTTTTTCAAAAGCTTCCGTTCGAAGACAACAAATCGGTAAAAAACACAATAAAATTACCTCCCATCCACCGAAGCCCAGAGTTTTACCAAAAAAAGTTTTTCCAGTTGCAAACTATTTCTCCAATTATCTCGACAAATAATTAACGAAAATCGGCATAATTAGTGGATTTGAAATCGAATATTTTCCTGGTTCACTAATGAGATCATTACCATCGCTTCATTCTCCTAGGCTCTCGCGATTATCGCGATGACCGCGTTTGAACACGTGTTTTAAAGGAGATAATTCAGAACAAGCGATTCCATCGGCTCAATCATCATCACTCTGTTATATCGAAGGACTCAATTTTCTTCTCGGGTTGATAGACCTATTGGAAAATCTCGATAATCCTTTTTTTTCCCTTTTCTGGGACGATGGCTCGATATTGAAATGGAAAGTTGGTTCGGAGAAGAGAGGGTATTGGCGGACTTATTGGAAACTTATCGGCGGATGGAGAAATTTTCCACGAGAACTTGACTTTGTGATTTGATATGCCAATCACGTGAACAGATCCCCTGGTGTTACTTGCGATGGGTGCGTGTGGGTGAATGTCACAGCTATTCATCTTCCTCCTGTTCAACCGCGTATTCTTCAAAATGCCATCCAACTGTCGTCCCGGTACTTTCACGTCATTCCAGGCAACAGATGTGACTAAAAAAATCTTTGGAGTTGAAAAAATTGATAAATGGGGGATGCAGATATTTGTTCCATTGAATGCTATAATTATGAGATTATTATTTTGTTAATTACATTTTCGTTGAATTGACGATTTTGATTTTTTTTTTGTCAGAATAATCAAATTAAATTAGAGAATTCTGATTATTCAAGGATTTTTTGCAGATCGGCAACAACTTGATGGGTTTTTCGTGGTATTATTTTCTCGCTGGGTGAGATAATATTCCGGTGAAGTGGAGTACATGAATGCGATCAAAGATCCATTTGATTGGAAAATCATGGCATTAATCATGCTGCCCCTACCCCGGAGAAACAATCGGACGTAATTCAAATTGTTGAGGAGAATCGAGAGACAGGAGAGGGGAAGGACACTGGAGTTACGAGTACCGATTGACGCCACATGGCTCGTTGGCAGATTGAGTGAATTATTAATCGATGACTCTTCATCATCATCAGATTTGTACCCATTCGAAGATAATAATCCTGACTTTCCCATCATCTCACTTACGTTGAATTCCCGAGAATCATGTCAAACTGAATGATCAGTCAATCTGTTTCTGCCTGTCATGTTTGTGTCAGGAGCATTCATGTCAATTGCTCATGACTTTATCGTGGTCGCTGTTGCATTCGAGTGCATTCATTAATTCGTTAATTAATTTAGGTGCATGGGACACAAAACCACTTATTTATTTATATTCTTATGCGAAATTACAATAATTTTGCAGAATTTTCTACATTTTCTTTGTAACAATCTCAATATTTTTTGGTATTTTTTTTTCCAAAAATTGTTATCGTTTGTTATCACTTCGATTACTAGAAACTTACAATATAATTACTATTTTTTTTGGGAATTTTCTCCCCGAAAATTTTCACAGTCACTACAATCCCAATTATAACACAATTTTTTAAATACAAATCACCCTATTTTACCCACCAAAAATTGTGTTTTTTACTGAAACTACATTACCAATTCAATTATATTTACAATTATAACTGAAATACTAAAAATAATAATACATTTGTCGAATTTTTGTGGAAAAATCGTAATTATTGCGGATACCGAGAGCGGGAATGACATGTCGACGGGTAAATCGAACTCCAGATACAACTCAAAGCATTGAACCCCCTCCTCCCCCCTACCCCTCTCCAATCAATAATAATTAAACCCTCCCCAGAAGAAATGTAGTCATGCATTCCGCATCATTCCCGATAAAACCACCAACCGGATATCACGATGTAAATTGAATTTGACGATAAAATCAGTATGACCATCCTCCTCCCCTCGTCCACCCATCGTGCAGCACGTTATTAATCAACACAACGCGTTGCATTTGGACATTTAACATAAATCGTGAGCGTTCACTATGTGTATTTGTGTAACACCGCCCACCGATATATGTACTACCCCGATGTGAATCTCGTTTGACATAAATGCATGGTATTCATACACAAGGGTGTACATTACATGCGTGTAATTTCGGTATTTGGATAGTGAGGGAGAAGGAGGTACAAAGGTAGATTAGAGTATGTGTGTTGGGTAATGGGGTTGAGGGGATGAATTTTGATTGGCCATTGATTCCACGGCATTTCAGAACAGCTCCAGACGATACCCAATGCTGATAATGACAGTAATGAGTTGCAGGTTATTTTGGTCTAATGAAGTATCGAAGTTCATTTATCAACGATTTATCAGCAATTTGAAATGATCATTTCAGTCACTAGTTGATTACAAGGTATTCTCTACTGGAGGAAATTTTATTCAAATTTCACTGATAGAAAAATTCGGTTGATTATCCAATCAATTATGACGAACCATTTTCTTTTATCTGGTTGCATTAAATAGATATTCGTTGGAGTTGAGTAACAATATTGTTGATTGATTAAAGTATTAGTATTGAGTAGTAGTATTAGTATTGAGTAATAGTATTAGTATTAGTAGTATTGAGGCAACCGAGTATTCAGTAATAATTACCGAATCTCCATTCATGGAACACGCCATCTTGTTCATATCATCTGTTCAAAATCATCCTATATCCGCCACATCCGCTTGCATTCAATGCAATTACCGTTCGTATCAGAATGAAGTGCGTTTTGAACTGATTTTCAATCATTCCAAAATGAAGGTTTTAGTAATGCCTTTTGGTTTGATTGTTTTGCCTGAATGAATTGTCAAAAGCCATGACTTTGTTTCAAAATTGTTTCATGTCCTAGAATTTGATTCTTCTAATCTGTAATGGAATCTAATCCTTCTCGTGAGGATCGGTACCATATCATACATAGTCTACTTTATTTCTTATATTATTCCAAATCATAATTAATCATGAGCGAATAATCTCTTTTTCAGGTCAATTAATGATTCAGTAACTTTTAACGAATATTAAATCAATTATTTTGTCAGTGTTCAGTCCGAATAACCGCCACGCATATATACCATATATATATAAACCGATTAACGCGGGGAATCCCCCAATATTTTTTTTCAGTGATTGGTAGTGGAAGGTTGAGGCTGGGGGTACAATGGCTTATCTGTTTCAGGGCGGTGAGGCTTACAGGGCCCTTCGTCACAATGGTTTACAGCATGATAACTGGAGACATGCTCACCTTCGGCATCATCTACATGGTTGTTCTGTTTGGATTCTCCCAGTCCTTCCATTTTCTCTACAAGGGCTTTCCCAGGGTTCAATCCAGCCTCTACCACTCATATCACTCCACCTGGATGGCTTTGTTTCAAATCACCCTGGGGGATTACAGCGTGAGTTGATTTTAAATCAATGGTAAATATATAGGCCGTTTATTTATTTATGTATTAACTGATTATTTACAAATGTTTGGATCAATATTACATGTAGTTAATTATTTTACAGTTCGATCTTCTTAATTTTTATCGATGCAGCTATAATTGGATCTATTTTTTAATTTCTGCGTTATCTATGCATTAAATATTTATGTTTCATATTAATATTTATGTAAGCGTTATTTATCTTGCTTGTGGATAATTAGGATCTACTGTGAAAATCTGACAAATCTGAAAATGATTTTTTCCCAAAATATGTTATCCTCAATCAAGGATTGATGAAATTATTGCTTCCCAAAACCATCGCCATAGTGGTACATGAAAAATTTAAATACTTTAAGTGGTTTTTCCTGTGCTCCAACCTGAAACAAACTTTTCCCCGATTTAATTGGAAAATTTCACATTGACACTCCGCACACATTGACAAGAACAAATCACGAATTGATACCGTTGAATTTGCAAACTTTCGGATCACACAACTTGGATGAAACTTTGGTAGTAATATACGTGGAGGTAGTGGTGGTGGGTGGAAAAAAAAAAATTTTTTTTTATCAGACATCCTGGGCGTTTTCGATCGGGTCATAAGTCGACGACGTGGTTGAAATATCGCCCGTCTGCTCGAAATATCACCCGATTACTGGATTCGTCTGGTACTTCTAGTGAGTTCACATAGAAAAATAAATCCATTACCCCGAGGTGAGTGAAAATAAATGGCTCTATCTGTTTTTTTTTTCAGTATGGCGATTTGAGTGATACGGCCTACCCGAATTTGAGCAAAACTGTGTTCGCAATATTTATGGTTCTTGTGCCCATTCTTCTCCTCAACATGTTGATAGCCATGATGGGTAACACATATGCGCACGTAATCGAGCAAAGTGAGAAGGAATTCGTGAAACAAGTACGCAATACAATAAATATAAACAATTCCATTCCGCGAAAAAATGGCAAATACCAAGTGCACATAGTGACGTGTCATTAATAATTTTATTTTCAAATATCGCAACTAATTCGTTACTAGTTATTCTAAAACTTATTTGTCCGGCAGTCATTAACTATACGTTTATGTAATCGTAATTTGCGGGGATGTTAAAAGCAAGTCACGATGACTATCAACGTAATTGATGATCATAATGAACCCAATGTACTATTTCTTGGACATTAATTGCAATTACATCAACGCTAATAAGCCTTGGAGTTTCTAATTACGGAATAATTACGGTAAATTATCTTTAGATTATCGTAATTGACAATTATGTTGAGTGTAATTTTCGCTTCAGCTTCAACTGCTGTAAATTCCGGTTGGATTACAGTAATTTTCAATTATTTTGAGCGTAACTTGCGCGTAATTAAAAATGAAATCATAAATTACGTTGATATTATGACTATTTACAATGATATCGAGCGTAACTATTTTTGCGTGCATGATTAGTGTTTCGAAGACAACCCTTTGAGATAATCGACTTGACGTTCTCAAAGGTGATGAATCAATTGGAAAAATGTTAATGAGCTCATTTCACCGAATTTCTTTTGCTTTCACGGTGCTCTCAAGTGGGCGAAAATAGTGGTATCACTGGAGCGCGCAGTATCGCAGAAAGACGCCCACAATTATCTTCAAGAGTACAGCATAAAGTTGGGTCCGGGCGATGACCCGAATAATCCAGCCTCCGAGCAACGAGGTGTCATGGTGATAAAGAGCAAATCCAAGACTAGGGCAAGACAGAGAAAAGGTGCTGTCGCTAATTGGAAGGTATAGCTATAGTTAACGTACTTGAGTCTAAGTGACCTTTACTCACTGGCACAATTCCCCCAATGACTTTCCAGTTCATTTCATATTTCCATGGTTGGCAAGTTGTTTCATTATATCACTGGTGTTTATTAGTTTTCTATTTGTTTTTACCTCTGGGGGAGAAGAGGTTTTCACCAACTTTCAGAAATTACTCGAATCATGGGAAAAGAAAAAAAAATATATCTAACAGCCAGAGTGATATTCATTTGGATAGCAAATTTTGCAAATTCACCGGTACAAACAATAATACAACCAGCCGGAATATGCAATTACCCACTTGTTTTTCGTTTTACAGAGAGTTGGCAAAGTCACAATAGCAGAATTGAAGAAGAGGGGAATGAGTGGGGAGGAACTCAGGTGCATTATGTGGGGCAGAGCGTCCATTTCTACTCCAGTGAGGCGAAGGTATCCATTTCATTGTTCTGTGAAAAAATGATAAGCTTTAAAAAATGATATCCTGATCAAAAATGCGATTATCCGTGGAGCAGAGCTGGGCTAGATTGTTGTTCAACAGACAGGAAGATTTCCTCTTTTCAAAGCTACAATTAAGTTATTTTCAGTAGATTGGTTCGCGAGATAATGGCGTAAAACTGTAACGAGGGGTTGAACAAGTTTGATTTATATTTCCTGGTGTACAACGACTCAAACACTTATCGAGTGTCTTGATTTACCATGTGTTTTATTTGGTGTTTTTTGTATTCAGTCCTCACATGGCTGAGCCAGAAATCTCAGCGTCAGCGGGCGTGACCGGTGGCTTTGGTGATGCTCTCACAGCAGCACTAGATGTAATGGCCTTTGCCCACGACATTGACCTGGCCAGTGCTACCGAGGGAATACCAACTACAGATGCTGCATCAAAAGCAAAGGCACAACAGGCCAAACTACCAACGTCCACCTCAACAACTACAAATCAAACCAATACTCAAGTGCAGTCTTGTGATACAAATCATAGAATCGAGGGCCAGGCAGCTGTTGCTAAAGGTACATTCGCCATTTACTACGTACTTTCTTATTTTTAAAGGGATAAATCCTGAGATACCAGGTCATCTGTCGTTATCGCCTATGATAAATTCCCAGTCGGTTATCACACATTTCGAAGTTACTATCGCACTACACTTGAAAGTTCTGGGAATAAACTAGAAAATTGGAGCAACCACAGTCACATGGATTTTTTGGTGAACTCTGTGTTAACGAATCAGTTCATTTTTTAAATAATCTGGTGATTCTCCATTTTTAGAGCCCGGCGGCACTGGAAAAAGGTTAACAGTTAAAAATAATCATCCATTAAGAATTTAATTCTGTCATATTTATTTTCAGGATGGGCATGAAAATTTGAGCTTTCATTGAAAAAATTAATTACCATGCACTGAACATGAAAGGCCGTTTTTTCTCGAATTCTCAAGACAATGAGAAATTCAGTGACCGTTTTTAATTAAATTTGAATTTAAACCCATATAATTGAAAATCCAGATGTCTCGGCGATTGAAATTTTAAGGAATCGTTACTATTTTGTGGAGTTGTATTTAATTAGTGACATTGTTTATTCAGAACGCAATTGATTATTTATCATGATAATGCACTAATTTGGGGATAATCTGTCTGGAAAGGTGTGGGAATTTCTGGATAGTTGTCAAATTCAAATATAGAAATCTGAATGGATGATGTTATCGATAATTCATGTAATGACTGATAATATGCCCGTGTCTGCCTTCTAAGGTAATCATAATTATATCACTCACAATCGGTCGCGGGTAAATGTTTTTTTTTTATGGTAGGTTAGTCCAGCGTCTCAAGGTCTGACTAATTATATTTAATGGACTTGAATGTATAAGGAATATATAGCCAATGGTGAAATCCTGAGAAGGTAAACGATAGGACGAAAAATTAGTTATAATAAAAGCAGAAAGATAATTTTGAGATTATCATCTTTGTCAAGTGACATCAAGTGATTTTTCTATTTTATTCTGTTGTAGTTGAAAAACCAATAGCGGAGGATATTGTTAGGCCTGTAATTAATTCAAATAAAGAAAAGTGTGAAAAACTGGATCCTCTGTTGAACCTGGTGATTGCCTCGGAGTCCCCGGACTCACACAAGGAGCAACTGCTCAAAATGGCTGAAGAGGCGAGAATCGCCAGTGAGCCCAGGGTGGCCATTGATTCGCAAATACTTGAGACTTTCGGCCTCGGTAATTTTATCGCCCCAGGGGACAATAACCAGCTGGAGACCAAGGAGAGGAAGTACATGGCTGAATCCAGCGACAATGACATATGTGGCAGTAAGTGTATAACAAAATTTACTCTCCAAAAAAAAATCGTCCTCTCCGTTTCATTAAACAATCCGGAAAACCACAATGCATTTTTAAATCATCACCGTATCTGTAATATTTATGATATCATCTTCATGGGAATTGTGGAATGAAAAATACATGAAAAAATTAACATCGCAAAGAATATATTCAAAAATATCTGGAACATATCGAATTTTTATTGGAAAAATTTGATGAACATTGAAAATGAAAATTCATTCTTCCAGATATTGATCCTTTTTTTTATATAGAACTGCTTCTCGGACATAAATGCCCTCTCCCTTAGTTTTTGAAATTTTCAACGATTTCAATAATTGATTTCATGACCTAGATAATTTTGAGAAGTACCATCTGAACGCTGACCGGAGGCCGCGAGTTGGTCGACCAATTGTCGACCTACTGTATGAGGATTTCGTTGAACTGAGTTTGAAATTTTCCAACAAACTTTTAATTAATTTCATTCGCAATTGAACTGAATTTAATGAATTAATGTGCATTACAATCTTAAAGGACAACATTTTCGTATAAAAAATAATTATTCTCACGGTTATCATATTTTATCATTATTTCGGTAATTGTATAATAGAACTACTTCATCTAATTTTCAATTTTTCTCATCTTAATAATTATCGAAAGAAAGGAAAAGATAACATTGCGCCGCACTCAATGAAGATAGGCCAAGTGGACGTTTTATCGGTGTGACGTCACAGGCGATGTTGTCGCGTATAATATACACGACACAACTACCCCCTCAATGCGGTTAAATTTTTTCCTCTTAACACGAGAATTGTTTGCGAATTCCGCCCTTAGTTACATTGTATAAGTTGACTGTGAACTTTATGAAGATATTTTTACTTTCTCGATTAGGTATATACCTGGAGGGAGTAGACCAGTCCAAGTCGACTTTTTGTGGGGTTCATAGGAGTCGCGAGTACCCGTCGCGAACCCTGGGTCATGCTAAATGCTGGTGAGGCTTGTAACTTTTTCAAAAGTGCCTCACCATGCTTTAAATTTTTGTAAATGTCTCGCAATATTATTAACTGCTTTTGGGAGGAAAAGTGAAGGAAGGGGTACCCGCGCACCTACATGAGTATCCACCGAAAAGTTTGATGACTCAAAGAGGTTAAATTCATTCATACCCGCTCAGTTCGGACCCCAACGATGTCTATTTACTGTAGGATATACCTCAAATTTTAAAAAATCATGAAACTGAAAAAGTTGGAAATAGAAGTAGCTTTAATATACTATTACCATAATTTCTGCATTTTTAAAAATTTATCACATTTAAAGGTTTACTTCTCACATATTAATCAATAGATAAAGAACAATTACTGTAAATACTAATTGATGATAGTCAATAATGATATTACATCAAATATTTAAAAATGTTGTGAGATGTTCCATTTTGGTGTATTATAATAAATTTCAAATGTGATTTTGTGTGATTTTTCAAAGCAATATTTTTGTAAATAATATTTCCGCAAATAATATTTCGCCATGTAACTATTTTCACCATTGTCAATGCTCCCTGGATTGCTCCACCTGAACTAACCTCACCGTAAAATAAAAAACCACCCCTAGCTCTCGGCGTCTCCACAAATAATAATTCCAATTTCAGACTCAAATCTCTTGGGGGCAGAATCCCGTCTACGTCGGATTCGTTCAGCGAGTCTGCGTTACTCCTCATCAGCCCGCCATCGCCGTTCAAGTCGCGGTGTTACCCTAGAATCCTCCTCATCCACCGACGAACAGGCGTATCCCTCTCACCTCTCGACGAAGCCACCCACTCCACCCCACGTCAATGGATATCTAGAGCTCCAGCAGACGCCAGACAACAAAACTAATCCGGATGATTCCAGGCAAAATGAGAAGAATGGGGAGCAACGTATCAATAAGAATCACAAGCGTCGCCCCAAAACCGCCAAGAACAGGTAATGAATATAAAAAATCTATGAAACGGCCATCAATTTCCCATATCGGATTGCAAAATCCTTTAAACAATAACATTATTCAACATATTTAATGGTTGGTTATCGATTCGTATAATAATTTTTATGCCATCGGTGCCCGTAATCACGCGATTCTAACCTCGCTTCGCTCGGTTAAATCGCGGATTCCGGGCGCAATGACATAAAATTTTGTATGAAACGCGTGCGTAATATATTTTTCGACTCGTGGGATTGTAAAACTCGCCTTCGGCTCGTGTTACAAACCTCCCACGAGTAAAAAAATATATTACGCACGTGTTGCATAATATACTAATATAGAATTTAAGCAGTTCATTAAATAAAAATGGCCGCACGGCGCAATTCAATAGCTGTTATTCGATGAAAGACATTTATTTATTGTTTTTTCTTTCGTTGCAGGGTTGTACCATCCGAAGTAATAACCGATGTCCATGAAATGAATAGTAAGAAAAATGGGAATATAACGCCACCATCGCCAACAGATCCACTTGAGCCATGGAGTACTCGCGGCATCAGCGATATGAATACACTATTAGCATGGCGGGAGAATGGGTTGGATAGCCCTTGATGGAAAAATATTCTCCACTGATTTCAATTTAATGAAAATTGTGTGAAAATCAACTTGTCTTTTTACTATTGTACGCTGAAAACCGAGTTGACGGTGTCGAGTTGAAGACTCGTGGATTACGAATGAATAATGGCTGGGAAGACGGAAACGGTTGTGAATGCACTACTTTCTGTCAAATTATTGTATGAAAATAATTTGTAGGACATAAAACCACTTATACAAATATAAATATCATAACTTTGAAAAGTCATTCATCTTTCTTTACATCAGCTTTTTTTGTTATTTTATCGTCTATTCCTCCGCAGGACACAGTGATTTCATTATTACGATGAAGTAGATTCTACTGCAACATCCCAATAATTTAATTCTCTCCTTCAAAACTATTCGTAAAGAGTAGAATCGAATCAATTGTTGAAACATTAGCAGAACAAAATAAAGCAAATGGAATGCATTAAACAATGGATTTATTCCAAAAAATAAAATCAAATTGGTTCGATAGATCATCTTTTTCTCCGCAGTCATTCTCAAATGTATTTAACCATCGCTAAGTTATTATTATTACATATTACAGAAATTGTAATAGGTTTAACGTATTGGGAGGACGACGTGGGCGTACAATAGTTCATATCCCCTAGCATCTTTCACAGTAACGAAAGCTCTGTACTTATATTTATTAGTATCAACTCCGTAATAGAAAACCATATTCCTACATTGATAAGTGCTAAGAAGTCCTGGGGTGACTGATTTTACTCCCTGTAGATAAAAATAGGTTTAAAAATGGTTCCACTCTCACTTTTAATTTCTTGATAATTGCACTATTTATATACACAAGATGTTCATAATCCCTGTCACTACCTTAGCCCTAATTATCTTGTCGTTACAGAATTAAGTGGCGATTAATGATTGATTACTCACCGGTGCTACTGGACAATGACTCATTCCTAAAAGATCTCGTGCAAACTTTGACCATGCGCCAGGTTCATTATTTCCTGGTGCGCGACAGAGATTTGCTGTACCCTCAGTGTAACGAGTCCAACTACCTCCTCCGAATAAAGCGTCAGTCCATTTTTCTACCTTATAAGTCATCTAAATCGCGTCATAGAAATTTAAAGAATTATATTAATGAACCAGATTAGAGGTGAGAGTATTGCTAACCGTAAAAGGGCCATTTCCTTTTTGCACCCAATTGACAGAGTTGTACCAGAATTCACCCTTGTTTTGTCCTTGCACCCAGGGGTTGCTTGGAATCACGACAGAGGCTTCACTACTATCCACACTTCGTATTATTTCGCATTGATGGTGATTGACAGCATTTGACTGGAATAAATACTCGAGTGATGGAGGATGTTGCATGCGTGGAGAAAATAAATCAGTTTCGCCAAGGATTCACTCCCTTGGGAAAGTATGTTTTCATAAAAAATTTATCGTTACAAAATTAAATGAAATTACATATGTAGATTTAAACCCATGAATTCAATATATGCGCCTTTAATGATTCAACTTAATGATTCAACATGTATACCGGTTGAATACGGGGGGTTTTACTTTTTCGTTATTCATGAAATTATTGATTGATGTTTTGTTTACGGATTAATATTTGTGCTTCAATTGATGCGATTTACTGTATTGTGCTTGTGCTATTAAACTATAGACATTGTTATCGAATCGATTTTCATACACCATGATTTTGCTGAAAACACTATTCAATTTGTTGACGATTAATTTGTGTGTTACAATTTACGTGCGTAATTTAGAGCTGCAGCCAACAGTCTTTTTTTGACAATTTATTTGGTTTTGGAGACTTACCTGCCCTGTCCAAAAGCAGACAAGCAGGAGTAGTTGGATAGTGTTCATCATATCTGAATGGAGTTTTCTGGATTGTGATGACTTGAAAAAACCTGAGGACTTTTATACTATGTGCGAGAGCAATTAGCTTTTTGAGTTGTAGACGTTTGAGGACAGTCGCCTAGTATTGTGATTTTTTTATATGCTCGACCTCGCTTCAGTTTGATAAGGATGTTCTTCAAACTTCGAAGCTTCAAACATTTCTTCATTGAGTACATTCTTCCAATTTTTCTTTGTTTACAATTTTGACAATTTACAAAAAAGAACATGACAAGTTCCGATGCTCCGAAAATCACAGGGAAGTGCTGCTCTTGTAACTTTTGCGAATGAATTATTTTCTGCATTGAAAAATGCGACACTAATCAGCCAGTAATTATTTCCCGAAATAGATTATTTGTTTTCGTCCCGTCGTATGATAACGAGGCTTTATCAAGTGTCAAGTCTTTATCGTCGTTTTATTTTTATTTCTTACGTTTACCCGACAAAGTATTGTTTATATTTTAGTAAGGTCACTTCTACTGACAATTTACCAATGTCTCTCAACTCTTTTATTGGTCTAGAAAAATTTGCGTGCTTATTAGTCGTATTATATTATATTATCAAATACAAAAATATTTAAAAAATCAATAAATGATGAGATGAGAATAGATCAACGAGAGATTTCGTTTGACGGTTCTTTTCTTAGAGGAAAACATCGAATGGTGAATGATTAACTCTCAATTCACCGGTGAATTCATATCGATCTCTGAAAGAAGCAGAATGGCTTGGACAGCCGCTAATGTAAAAATATCCCCAAGTGATTTAAATTGTAATGAAAAATGCGTGGAAATGAATTCAACGTTTCACAATTGCTCTCTAAAGAATTGAGGATGAATTTGCTACAAGTTCTCAGATTATGAATGGATAATGTTGCTTCTGTCGAGTTGCGTGACGAAAATATTTCACAAAGATGTTAAACAAATTATATCACTTTCAAATTATATCAACTTTTACTGGTACTTCATGTGGGCATTTCTTCATTCTGCATTCTTCCACAGTTTGATGTCATTTTATTATTACGACGAAACGATTTCTACTGGAGTTCGTTTTACGAAAAATATACTATTCCTGGTGAATTATCTGGAAATTCGGAGAGAATGAAGAGGATGAATGGTTAAAATAACCGCATCAGAATAAAATTCAATGATGAGACGGAATTATTTTATTCATATAGTCGAAACTCAAAATAATTTGCCAAATAAATTTTCGTTCGACATAGTCAAGTGGGACTTTAAATGAATAATTGTTAATTAATTATCGTTATGATTAATTCATGTCCTCATTATCTGGTGTTGAGTTTTGCCGTAAAATTTTGGGACTACCAATTGTCAGTTTTTAACGAATGGGCAGCACGACTTGACCGCTCAGTATTTCGCTGCCACTGGCATCATTTAAAGTGAGAAATACTCGGTACTTATATTTACTAGTATCAACTCCATAGTAGAATACCATGTTTCTGCAGACATTAGTGCTGAGAATAGTACTATCTGGTGTTTTGTCGCCCTGTCAAAAAAGTGGATAAAAAATCCCAATTAAAACCAATTTTAATCATAAGTGCGTGCTAATTAAAAATTTCTAAAATGCATAGAAAATGAGGTCGCTGTATATTCGGCTGATATGAACAAGATTCACTCACTATTTTACTATTACACTATTACTGAATCATTAATTGACCTGCGATACAGACGGTTCGTTCATGGTTAATCATAAATTAATAATAATATAAAAAATAAAGTAGACGATGTATAGTATCATGCCGATCCCCACGGGAAGGTTTCAATTCCATTACAGATTAGAACAATCAACTTCCAGGAGATGAACTACTTTTTTTAATCTTATGACTTTTGAAAATTAATTTAGACAGAACAATTAAATCAAAAGCCATCACTAAATTCTCCACTTTTTATGAATGATTTAAAATTGTTTTAAAATGTACTTCATTATGATGAGAATGATAATTGAATTGAATGTAAGCGGATATAGCCGATGATTGTAAACAGACGATGTGAACAAGATGGCGTGCTCCATGAATCGCGTTTCGGTAATTATTACCGAGTACTCGCTTGGCCCAACAAAACTGTTGGGTTCCTACAGCTGCATACGAAATTACATACGAAATTATACTTTATTTAATCAATGATGAATAAAGTTATATAGAACGAATATGTATTTTGTTCGATTTGTGTGATTTTTAGATGAAGATGGACTTTCTTGTTCCTTCGCTACTGATGATAATTGAATTGTGAGTACTCACCGCTGAGATTGGGCAGTTAGAGACTCCCAAAAGATCTCGTATAAACTTTGCCCAAGAGCCAGGTTCGTCATTTCCTGGTTGTCTGCAGATGTCACCTGAACCGTCAGTATAAAAACCCCAACTTCCTCCTCCAAATAAGGCATCATTCCATTTTTCTACTTTGTAAGTCATCTGCATGAAATTAATGAATAAGATGAAATCATTATCGAACTGCCACAAAATAACTAATGATAGGCTTATTTCGGTAGTCGATTTTTTGGGGCATATCTCGGAATTGAATACAGCTAGCGAAATTTGCTTTAAGACCTTTTTTGTAGAGTGCAGTAACGGCCACAGAAAATGTCGTAACACAAATCTAGCTAGCTCCTGCAGATTTACAGATATTGCCCAAAAACCCACCGGTTACTCCGCGGGTGCAGAATGGAAATTAATGAACGTTAAAGTTTAAATTAATGAGACATCAAAGTAACTACCAACCTGGAGAGGACCGCTGACGTCTTGTAGGAAATTGATTGAGCTGTACCAAAATTCTGATCTGCTTCCTGCTTGGACCTGTGATCCCGTGAGGTAAACAGAGAGTTCATCGCTGTCAACTGCACGTATTATCTCACATTGCTGATGATTTACCGCATATGACTGAAAAATAACCAAATGCTTTTAGAATCAACATCAACTAATTTTCACTCATAATTCTTTATTTAATTCAATTTAATTAGTAATTCAAAAAAGTTCGGGCAAGAATTTAAATTTACTTTACAAAATTTCAATTTGTTTTTCATTAATAATATTGGAATTAAATGCATTATTGCTGAAATAAAAAATTGTGAATATGAGATAGAACATTCATTGAAAATTCCGTCAACTAAAATTCTACGATAATAAACAAAAAATGAAGTAATTAGTTTTTGGAAAAGAATAATGCAGGAGATTTTTAGTAAATTTAAAGAGAAAATGTTTTTGCAGTATTAATGCATTATTTTTTAATAGAAAAATCGGAGAAAATCGTTGGAATTTAATGAAAAATGATTTTTAATGTAACGACTTACCCAGTCTATACAGAGACAGACGAATAACAGGAAAACTTGAAGCTTGCTCATCATATTACGATGGTGATTCCAAAAAGTGGAACCTCACGGTAAACAATGATCTTTTATACTTTGTGCTAGGTAATGATCAGGTAATGAACCATTGCAATTGTTTACGTTCGGTAATTGTGTTTTATCAGTTTTCGCTCATGTTTTTGTAAAGTTATCTTTAAACGCCTCAGTTTGATAAGAGCATTTCTCTTTTTGAAATGTTTTTTAGTCCGGTGCATCGTAAATCGGCCAACTATTTTTTCTCTTGACGTATTTATATTGGTTAAACAAACACTGATAAAAACTACTTTTTTCTTCTACGCGATAATTTCTAATGACTTTCGTCATTTTTTTAATGCGAAGATTGTCAAATAATAATCTCATGTCAACCGTCGATTTAAAAAAATGATCATGAAATAATTAATTTTTAATACCTACTGCGATTATCTTAAAACTCTGAAAATATTTCACCGTGACTATTCATTTTGGGGAAAATCATTCTCGGGAATTGATATTAATTTTGCTTAACTAATTAAATATATTTATTTGACTGATTGTATAAAAGTTGCAATTTCTCAAAGCTACAATATTCTAATTAGATATTGTTTATCGATAATTATCTTGCCATTCAAATGAACTGAAATTATTACAATGGAAAATAAGAATTCGAGATGAATATTGCGAAAAGTTTTTCTCAGGCTAGAAAATACTATAAAAATCGCCGAAGCTCTTTGATAAACCGAAGATAATTCTGTGCCTCGTAGTTCCTTTTTGACCCACATTTTCCATCCCTTTGAATTCTCTCTCCTGTTTCATCAAGTCGTCATATATAATTTGCAATTCCAATTGTACTGAAATTGTCTATTTCAAATCAAATTTACGGGTTTTCCGTCATTACGCGTTGCTGAAACCGAAATTATCGAAAACTGATATCGGGTAGAGGAAAATGGCGCATTGAGCCGGGGAAAAGTGTAAGAAATGAGCGACAAAAAACGTGAAAAAATCAGTGGAATAGTAATGGTACGAGCGACAACGATAACGTGGGGCAATTTTCCCATTCACCCTCAAACCCCTTTGCTATTCTCCACTCACGAGACTCGAGAACTTTTCACCAACGAATATTACTCGCGATCCCTCGGTGCTTGAAAGAAAAATGAAATAAAAAAAAATCGTAAAAAAAAAGAAAGTGAAGGAACGTTTTGAGTAGAGAACACGGCCGATGCGTGCTAGCCTCGCCCTTTTTCTCATCCCCTGCTGGCAAACTCTGAAAGAATAAAAATGAAAAAGGATCAAATGAGTTGAAAAAAATACACTCTGGAATATCATAAACAAAATTTGATTTTTTTACTTTCCCGACTTGCTTGACTAGATTTTATGATTTTTTTACAGGCTCTCCCGGCCAAATACCGTGAAAATACATATTTATCAACGCTTTAATAACAAAACAGCATAAGTAGTTGAAAAGTCGATATTAACTAGAAATCAACGGAGAATTGTGGAAATTACATGCGCCGAAATCACTTTTTTCGTTAATTAACCATTTATCTCGATAATCATCAAATTGGAGAGAAAATGGTGAATAACTTTTTTATAGTTGATTTAATTGCCGACAAAAAAGGTCATTTGATATTTTCCTGCAAACTCCATCATTTTCCAGATTAATCGATATTTAAAAAATGGAGTTGTAATCAAGTGCATTCTAGTTTCGGTAATTGAACCCGTAATTACATATTATTCCTCAATCATTCCGTGGATTATAGATTTTTGCAGCGACGTGGAAATGCCATCAAGTTATTCATGCAATAAGTAAACATATTATATATTTATATGTACATATATTTATGTTTAACGTGATTCGTTGCAAGACGCAGTTACTCGATCGTTTTCAATCAAATGAAGATATTTTTTCTGCTGAATCAAATAAACGAATGGATGAATAAACAATGGACTAATGAGCATTCAGAGGTTCATATCAATATCAGAAATATATATAAACATATTCGTCTATTGTTTCATTTATCAACTGAAGCCTGTAGAGATAATGGACTCGACGAAAATTAATAAATGGCATTTATATTCGATGAATTTATTTAATTAGATTATTATTATATTGAGGACTTCAATGTTCGACAATTAAAGTATTGCATATTCAGTCTCTTTATTGTAGCATTGGGTTTTTGCATCAAATAATGGAAAGAGAATTATTATTTATTTATTATTTATGTTAAAAAAACAATGAATAAAGATTGGTTATTATAAATTTTTTGCAAATTTCGTTCATTATCGTATCGAGGTATGCTGAAGGAAATATTGAATAAATAAATCTCAATGAAATAAAAGGTGTTCCAAATTTGTGTGGTAACTCAATCTACTTTTTTTTTTCATCAAATTTTGGAAAAAAAAAACAAATTTTTACGTGATTTGTAATCAAATTTCACACTCGTAATTCATTTTTCGGTGAAGGCAACAAC